CCATGCCACGTTGGGTCACAGGGATGGTTGACCGTACTGCACCACACTGATTGGTGCAGGTTGGTAACGTTGTCAGGTGTGGGGTGGGTGGGTGCCTGGGTGGGTGGGTGGATTCCTGGGTGGGTGGGTTCCTGGGTGGGTGGGTTCTTGGGTGGGTGGGTGGGTGGATTCCTGGGTGGGTGGGTTCCTGGGTGCCTGGGTGGGTGGGTTTCTGGGTGGGTGGGTTGATTCCTGGGTGGGTGGGTGGATTCCTGGGTGGGTGGGTGGGTTCCTGGGTGGGTGGGTAGATTCCTGGGTGGGTGGGTTGATTCCTGGGTGGGTGGATTCCTGGGTGGATGGGTTGATTCCTGGGTGGGTGCCCAGGTTTGGTTCAGATATCGTGAGCTGGGACCAAATCCTGGAACTCCCAAGCGACCAGCATGTTTTGTTAATTATTACTATTTTTTGTGACCAGGTAAGGCCCACTGAGTTATATGGCTCTTTTTCAGAAGCGACCTGGCTGGCCACAAATGATATCCCAACGAAATGGATTATCACGTGGACATTTATAGCAGCCAAATACTCTACACGTACGTTTCTAAATGTGGAGGGGAAAAATCCGGAGTACCTGGAGAAAACTCCACGCGACCACGGGGAGAACATGCGGATTCCATATATGCAGTAGATGTCAGGGTCGGGATCGAACCCACGACTTCCTGTATACCAGGCAAGGTAGTTAACATCTCACCACGGCGGCTCCCACGGTGGGGGAGCACCCACCCCATACTTACTACAGTGCCTTAAGAAGGCCCCCATCGACTGCCACTTTCTCAAATGCAGCTCGGGAAAGGGCATTAAATACGGGTCCACCAGCGAACGCCCACATCTCAAATAATTTATTTAAAAGCCACTGATGCTAGCTGTGAGGTAGTATTATAATACTCGGGTCACTGGGTTTGTGGCGCAGTGTGCTAACTACTGGCCCACCACACCATCAACAACATTCACAATACAATTGTAATATGAGCAATGTTATTTGTTTTCCACGGCTATTTTTTCAATAGGATCAACCATTGGCATGTTGAGTCCATTTCCGTTTTAATGAGTGTTTTGCAATAACTTTACATTTTGACACTTACGTAAAAAAAACACATCGTATGAATACACACAAAGACAAACCAAACACGCGCGTCCCTAGTTGACCCGTGACGATTGGCAGACAATTACGCAGCATCACAAAGCCCATTGTCTCGAATTTTAATTGGAGCGGCGATTGTTTGCAGTGCAATGCGGTGCAATGCGGTGCATGCTGGCCCCGGTAATTGGGAGCCGCGCAAGATGTCAGCGGTGATCACTTCTCGGCGCGTCCACGGATTAAAATGTGCAGTCGGAAAAGCTGTGGTCCCAATCAATCATCAGCCTCCAGCGATTGATGCCTCTGTCTCACGAAGAGACCCTTACAGAGGCTGCGCAACGGTGGGTGACGAAACAAATGTGTTTTCAAGTACAAATTTATAATGTGTGTACTACATTAAACTTCTTTCGCACCTTACTTAGCCAACCGTGCTAATCGGAAGGTTTTGACTTGCAGTCCTTTTTGTCGAACCACTGCCGGATGGAGGCCTTCTCATGGCGTGCCATTCATGGGGGTTCTTGGTCATACTTCACCATGTTGGTCATCGCGGGGTTAGTGGAGGCGGGGAGCATAGATGTGGAAGTGTAGATTGACAGATGTGCAGCACAACAATCGGCGTGGCTGCTTTGCCTTTTGGCCCACCACAAAGCCCCGCAGATCTACGACAAGACGTTTGCGCATGGCGGTGACCCATCCAACCACTACGCTGGACTCAGCCCTGCTTAGATATTGCAATCTTAAGGGATGACATGCATCAGAGATGATTCGGTCACGGGCCGTATATATTTCACCCTTTAACTATAAAACGTGCATGTGTACATGTACAGCCCATCTGCCATTCCGCTGTTGGAGGAGGGTTCTCCATCGGCTAAGTGCCGAGGCGGGAGAAGAGCGGTTCGCCAGGGTACGGTTCAAATATCGCTCGCCACTGACGTTCGCCGTGACAGGGAATTGAACTCAGGCCGCAGCTATCACAGTTACAAGTCATTGATGTGTTCTGCCACTCCCGCTAATCATCAAGTTATACAAAAAATGGGCTTAAGCCCCTTCTGAGCTAAATGTAGTTTGCCAATTACCGAGAACGTTTGAACCACTGGTGAGATTCTGCTCTGTGGCGATGTGACATTCTTGATGGCAACGGACACTGCGAAGGGACCTTATTAAATACCGTAGTTATCGTGTCCTCCACAAGTTCAGACGCCGGTGTTGTGCCGTGAGCAAGCCAGGGCTAGGCTCCCCGAGGCGAGATGTGGGGGTCACGAACCGCGAGCGGCATCAAGCTAATTGAATGTCATTGTTTGACCACCAAAACATTTGCCAACTGCGGCAGCAGTCCATGAGGCGGCACAGCTGTAAGCAACAGCAGCGTGGGATGCGTGTGCACGGTGCCAGATGAACACATATGATCCTAATACATTGCTTTTGTTCGCACATCGGTTAGCTTTTCATGCATTAATGTCATGTTGGAATTTAAAAAAAAATACAGGTAGATTCACTGTGGGAAACAAGCTACAGTAGGAATCTAGGAATAAATAAAATAAAAACTCTCATTGCGAATTGCGAGTAAACATAAAACGTGAAAAAAATGTTATCTGCACTCAATAACCCGAACAGTTTCTATTCCTGTTGCCCAGCCCCTCAATACATTTTGCTGATTTAAAACATTTCTCAGGTAAATAAAATGGTTAAAACCCCCAGGGATCCTTTCAGCAGCAGCAGCAGTGGAAAAAGTAGAGGCACATCGCCTCATTGGCACAGCATGCGTTTATTGTATCTGACAGCGTGATGCACATTGTCGCCACACTCTGGGAATACACCCAGGCCTTTTAAAATTCACCAGCAGGTCCCCCTTAATAATGCAATGCGACGTGCTGATGCTTACAGTGGTGAGTTCTGTGCACTTCTTCACTTTACAAGCGACAATCGTGCAACATGTCATTTGCGGGAAAGTTGTTTTTATTTAGATTCTAGCCACGTGAGACGCACGTCGAGACAGCAGTGCAGCTCACACGCATCCTTATCATCGACGAGCAAAAGGCGTTGGTGCCGCTTGCTTCTTTGAACTGTGTTTTTCTGCTGCGCGGTTTGTCTGCGCTGCGAATTGCCATCAAAGTGTAACTGCGGATGAAGGCAAGCCAAAGAGAAGACACCTAAAACGCGTGCAGATGCAAAGCCATACACATACGCAGTACCTGCAATATATATTGCACCGGAGAGACGAAATCAGCTCGGATTGTGGCATTGTAAGACCATGAGACGTGGCAACAGATTGGGAAGGCGTTCATAATCGTGCATTGATCACGGCTGATCATCATGATGGTGATATTACACTGGCTTTTACATTTTTCCGTGTTTTTCTCTGGTAGTTTAACCCTTCTCTTCGGTTAGAGGCCTAATGTCTCAAATAATTTGGAGTTGAACGTCCCATGATTGTGTGTGTGGAGTCTCTTGACAAGAATTGCAATTCCGTCGAATCGTATTGGATTTCTTTTTTTTGAGGCAATACACATTCCAGTATGAATCCTCTGACAGCGGTTTGCTCGTAACAAACCGCGATGAGAAAAGAAGGGGCATTGAAAACACCACTTACCTCGAGTGTCGTGCTCAAATACCACGTTCAGTACTTACGGCGATTGCAATTTTCGTCACTTTGTTCGGCATGACATTCCACGTTCTTCGAGGACACTGGTAAATGCAGGCGTAATTTTTAAATCCAAAGAGTCAATCAGCTCGTCGCAGAGTCTGTTTTAATGACTTCCAAAGATGGCACGCAACTCAATTTCATAATAATGTTCAGAGTCTACCTCTCTGAGAAAGAAATGTTTAGGTGAAACAAGATTACCGATTTCAATTATGTATCAATTACCACAATAATGAAAATACTCGTTTTTACAGAATTATATAAAATACCTCTCAAAAGGTTACGTCTGCAAATCGTAATTTTGACCCAAATTTAGGCAATGGGACACAATTAGTACAATAATTTGTTTAAGTTTTCAGAAAAACGAATTACTTGGGTAAAACATAAAAAATAAACACATTGCTTGCAAGTGTACAGAGGAGGGGGAAGTGATTTCTTCAGTAATGTACAACTCTGCCAAAAAGAAAGGCACTCCGAGACAGATCAGGAAGCTGATCATCCCACAGCCCTGGACTATCGTTAGGGAAATACTATCGTGATAATCTCACAATTCGAATATATGTGCATCTTCTAATATATATGAATATTTAGGAGTTGGGAACGTGGCAGTGGTCAGCACATGCCGCCATGAACTCAACCCAGTTTGACTCCCAGCCACGGCTAACATCAGTGGCAAGTGATATTAGAACTGTCCGTGTCCCACCTCTGACCATTCACCAATCCACACTGCCCAGCGTTAAGTATTTGCAAAAGAATCACAATATGTATTTATACCGGAGAAATCCGAGGAGCGATACATCGGGTTTTTTCACAGATGTCCAGTAGCGTGGGGAGGCCTTCATCCAGCAGTGGCTCGTTGAAGGGCTGTAAATATTACTACAATGTTGAGGATGTATTATGGGCATAAAGTGCACAGCAATGGTAGCTCCAAGCTCTGGTCGGGGCTGCACAAACTCCTCCTCGGTTTTTCTGGTGGCAGGTGATGCAGACAATTTCAGGTAAGACCTCGGTCATTACTCGACTAATCAATCCCGATACACCATGCAGCCGGAGCCATGCCCGTGGCCCGTCGTTGAGTCAGATTAATTACTTCCATGTCAAAAAAGCAATTTGCTGAAATGAATTGAAGTCAGCCCAACTTACAACGAACAGGGACGTTATGGGATTTTAATTACCGACTCGGTGGTTTAAATGTGACAGGATCTTACGCTTTTATTAAACAAACGTAAGCGAAACGTTCCGGCATTCAGCGGCGTTTTATTCATTGTGAAATTATAAAATCGGCCGAACGTGACACAAAAAACAAGATTCAGCATTTTAATAGGTGATAAACTGCATTGCGGTAGATTTAATGCACGGCGTATAATCCTTTTTTTTCCCCCGAGAGATTACATCTTGCACGCAGCCGACGGAATGATAACAGGCAGCAGCCGACGTGAAACATTTCAATGCAGATTCTTCATCCATAAAAAAAAGAGAGAGCCACTGCGAATGTCACCGATTAGCAAGCGTGCTGCGTGGCAGTCGCGTTTCCATGTCGGCCAGAAGCAGGAGCATCTGCCCAAATCGGTGTCGCCTTTAGACACGCGTGAGCTCAAGTAAGAAGACGACAGCGTAATGAAATTAGGGTGCTAGTCACGCACTTGCCGTGGCATAGCACGTACGCGTGTACGCTGAACTTCTTTCGCACCGTGCGTAGCCAACCGTGCTCATCAGAGGTACAATGCGAGTGGATTAAGAATTCGCAAGCGGTACGAGCGGGAACTTTACGCCCCATCATTCTCCACACTAGCCCGCTGTGACCCCTTCGCTTCACTCACCGCTATGCAGGTCGCGGTTGACAATAACCATATCCCTTGTGTGGCACGATCGATAACAAGTGGCAGAAATGCCAATTCCTAAAAATGTTTGTAACAAACTTAATAACGTATTACAAGTACTCACTCTTTGAGCTATACTCATATAGTGCGTATAGACGGCAAAGATAGCAGAGAAGTTGTAGAAATGAGCATTCAATACATCTTCCAGTACCCCATTTTATTAATGCAAAAGATGGCATGCGAAGGAATGATGCCAAGGTTATATCATATTCTTTGGTTCTTTCGGTAAAGTCACGTAGAAGGAAAACAATAAAATAATAAATAAAAATATGAATCCCTGCAGTCACGAAAGCTTTAAATCAACAGCATGCGTTTAGTTTTAGATAATTTGGCAGTTATAACTTCCACATGACAAGCCACTTCATTGAGCTATTATTTGTGGCCAGATCGCTTCTAAAAAAGAAGCTAATAGCTCAGTGGGCTTTACCTGGTAAATATTTTTTCATGATTTCCTTACCTTTTCTATACTTTGCACTCCTATCGTGTTTTCATAGTTTGTTGTTGTAACTTTATTGGATTCCTTCTGTATTATACTGAATTCCTAGACATGGGTAACATCAATGGTGAGTAATATCTGAACCAGTGCCGAGTCTCCCCTTCACAAACACAAATTGACCACTGTGGTGAAATATGGTCAAACAGACCCCCATTACCTACGCAAATGCTAGGCGGCCTTCATCCAGCAGTGGATTGACAAGGTGCTGTAAATTGTTCTTGTTATTATACATTGTACCATAATTACTCTAGTGGTCCCATATCAATGTAGAGCTTAGTCACCAATGGTGTTGTGATATGAGCATTCTGGTCACCAAAAGACGGGTGCAAGTTCTAATTCCAGTCAGTTCGAGTACAACCGTGTGAAAATTCAACCGGTGGTCATCCCTTGGAGAAACGGGCCTCTGCCCCTAAGAAATGAGTGCAGCCCCATAGCTCATTTGAGCAGGAAGGTGCTTTAAATAGGCACCATTCAAGACCAATCCCTTCTCGTGTTCTCGATTCAACATTACATATATACCATACACAAGGATTGACAATCTAACTATGAATTGAATAAAAGGCCTTCCATTTCATTTCAGCTTCATTATTTCAGCAATATGAAAAACCTATTAAGAGTGGCAGTCATCTGGTGAAGAATTTCGACGTGACAAATTTTTTAAACAAATATCGGCATTGCCCCAAAGGATACCACTTAATTATAATAGCACTCAGTTTCCCGTGTACTGTGCCAACTATCTCCTGCCACGACCCAGATAAATGACACGCTGCATTGCAGCCGAGTCCCACAGGCTAGCAGAGAACTCAGACCTCTGGAAATTATCCCTTATCAAATTCAGCCATGACGCTGGAACACAAAAGGCATGCTCGGCAGAATTGCTTCACAGGAGTATTTATATCCAAGGGGCATGTGAACAAAACTGCAAAATCAACGTTGCCTTCCGAGAACTGACATTTTACCGGTGCGCTTCGAACAAAGCTCAGACTGCAAAACATTTCATTAAAATTCTGTTTAGCCTCAATCAAGGAAGCCACTGAGCATGTGTAATCTCTCGACTCCCATGGGCGGCGTAACCCAATAAAAACAGAATTCTAGTTTTGTATTACTCCACTGATGAATACGCTCAAATAACCACAACTCGCTCTTGCTCACACTTGACACTTTGCATAGAAAAGTTGCTAAATGATCACATTCCTTCAGGCTAACCGTAACCCTCTTCCGCAACCCCATCATTGGTAAACAAACCTAATTTAAAAAAGGCGCATATCCTGCACTTGCCTAACCAGTGGCCATCTATTATTATCTTGCTAATTATCTGCAAGGTATTTGTTTTACATCCCGAGGCAATGGTGAAAGGAAGCCAAGAATGTCACATTAATGACCTGCGATAAGAAAAGTATGGAGGCTTTCACCACGCCACCCGATTGTAAGCGGGGCACGAAAATAAAATAGAATTTGCATCTCAACAAGGGAACGCACGTTGGTGTTTATTCTTCCCTACGTGTCGAACGTTTTGAGATTTTTTGCTTTAAAATTTTCCCAGAATTCTGGTTCTTCAAGGGACAAGGGGGCAGCCGTCGACATGAGGTCTTGGAAGCTGAGCGCGACGAACGGCCGCACGCACGATGATTCATCGCCACGCCTGTGACCTTTGGATGTCTGTGCTTCCCAAAAGACAAATGAAACACGGTAATTAAAAGTTAATTTTAGGTATTTAAAAACACTGCTGTACATTCAATGGGATGTTTTAATAGCGTAATGCCGTTAACACTTTTTCACATTTAGTAGCATTTAACATTTCTGTATTTCACGTTGCATGCTCCCAAACTCAAGAGAATGACAACAAAATAAAATAAATAGCTTAAAGTACTTTGCATACTCAGCTCGTATCCAAATTGTAGGCACGTTGCAATAATAAATGAGTTAATATTCTGCGTCCTTTGTTAATCCACTGCTGGATGAAGGCCATCTTATGCAGTGTTTGTTGTGGGGCTTGTTTGACCAACTTCACCACGCTGGGCAGAGGAGGGGGGTTTCCTAGGACTGGATTTCACTCACAATTGATGTCAGCCATGGCCGGGAATCAAACTCAGGTTAATGGGTGTGCAGTGCACTAACCACTATGAAACAGCTCCGCCCCATGTTACCATAACCTAAAAATACCTTATATACCCCAAAATACATAATTCTCTACTCTATTTTTATTTCCTGGCTGACATGATTTACATATACACGTTGTTTTTATCGAACTGTTATATTGAAAATGTATAATTGTGCATGACCCTATGTCAGCAGTACCATATCACAAACGAGACGATGCACCAATAACCCTATATCACAGGAAATGAATAAAGACAGCCAAAGGAAGGAATGTGCCTGATTTCGTCACTCAATCACCGCGGAGATTGAATGACAAAATCAGCTCACGTGCAGATGCCAGAAGGATTGCTGCATTACCAGACTGTCAGATTATGGCGGCTTTGTCCAGCAGTGGTGTAATCTTAGCCTATGATAATGATAATGAAATACTTAAACGTGAAGATAATAATCAAAAACACAACAAATATATATATTTTATAGACCATGGCACTGTTAGTTCAATCGCAGCAGTTTGTTTCAAAGAAACATAACAAAGCTCTCTGGTGTATTTTTGGTCTGTACCGGGCATTGTTCGGCGTGATATTTCACATTTCGCTCCACACACTGGGAGCTTCGTCAGCAACGGAGCTGATTCAGCAACTGAGTTGATCGTGCCCAACAACACGCAATGCAACCCTAAAAGCCATGTTGTCAAAAAATATCAATTTTTTTTTAAAATCGTGACTAACCTACAAAGAAAGCGTTGGCTGTTGTTTACGTATTTATCTACAAATTGTATCTTCGGCAGCCACAATGCAAAATGTCAGAGGGAGCGGGGAGGTCACGGCGCTTAATCCCGTTAGGGCGGCCCAAGCCTAAATGCGTGGCCCCAGGCGACCTTGCGCTGTGACGCACCCCCCCCCCCGGCGGAGCTTTGTGCAGTACGTGACCGCCACGGAACAAAGGAAATTCCCCACAGTCGATTCACACAATTAAGGAACGTCATCCTGGAGGTGGCTCAGAGGTCGGAGTGCTGAGCAGGCACTGCTAAGATCCAGGGTTGAAATTCAATTGTGAAAAAAAATATCCCCAAATATATGATTTTTTTTTTTACTTGTTTTGAAAATCAGCTCGTTTTGAGGTATTTGGTGGATTATTATGAAATGGCAGGATCATTTGACAGCTTGGGGAGGCCTTCATTTAGCAGTGGACTGACCATGGCCTAATGATGAATACCAGCTGAGAATTAAGAAATATTGGTTTGAACATCGTGCAATAATCATTTCTCTCTGTAGCAGGACAGGCGAGAAAGTGCAGTGCCCTCTCGTGTGGATAAGAGGTTACTTAAATATATGCTATCTCCTTCCACGGACCATTCTCGACTATGGCGTTGATTGCATGCTTTGTGCGAGTTCAATTTGTATTTTGTGTGTGTGTGTGTCATGATATTACATCAATAGCATAATCGCATAATCAGACTGAATTGTGGGAAACATAGGCAAAAAAAACCATGAAACATCATTCACACCTGGCAGACTGTTGAGTGTTGATTCACAGCCACAGCTACAAAGTGGGATTCATCCAGCATCGTCTCCTGCAAGACAACCACTTCGTAATTAGGACGCGACGTCTTTTAAAAACTCATCAAGTGAAAACCCACGTGTGAAAACCCACGTGTAAATGGATGACACTCAAAGTTCCACACAGATAGATTAAATAATCCATTGCTGTTCTGCAATCTGCAACTTAACACCATCTTCAAAACCATTACTATTTAGCCGGGCAGTGATTGGGCACTCCTATGATCCAGCACTGTGGAGGTGAAAGTTGGTGGATTGGAAAAATGTTACAAAAACTCCCTTTCCGTGGGCGCCACACCTTGGTTAGCCGGCATAGAGCGATGCAGCCAAATACAGACTAATATTACGTAGTACCTCTCCTTAACCTCCTTCTCTTAAAGCTCACCTCTTATCCATTTCCCATTATCCTCCTCTTCCCTCCCACCGCCCCTCCATTTCTTCCCTCCTCGCTTTCCTAACACCGACTTACTCTATCGTGGTCACCCATTCATAATCCCTTGCACGTGCCTGCCATCTCAATCAATTATTTCTCATATAATTTTTTATGTTAAATGCCTTGATCGAAGGCGCTCAATAAATTTCAACTAAGATATCACCTGTCCCTTCTGTATGGGAAAGAGTGTCTCACCCTCCCACACTGGAGTTTTCTCCAGGCACTCTAGTTTCCTCCTCCATGTATAAACACTCATTAGTTGGTTGAAAGAATCTTAATATATATAGGACTGCATAGTTTGGGCAATAGTTGATGCTGGCCCACTACTTGGCTGCTGCCTTCTCGCTTGTCTGTGGTTACGAATCGATTTTGCATAAACTATGCTATGTAAAAGTAAACATTATTATCACAATGTAGTGTTTAATTCAGAGTGTGGTCAGGTAGCTGAATGCAACCGATCTCCAAAATAGGCCCTGTCTGCTTAAGACTTTGATAGAAGGCAGCTCAATGAAGCTAATCAACATGGTTTACAAACGGGCCCTGTTTTTTTAAATTATTTACGCATGCTACGTTGCCCATAGTGGCTCGATTAGCCAGCAGAGTGCTCCGTGTCAATGAGGCTGGTTATATTCAGGAACAGGAGGATTTGGAGTTAATGACAAATCCCAGAGGAAATCATTCCGATGGCCAAGCTTACAGAGTTCTATGGGAGAGGATCTCTGAGCAAGACCAATTTTTATTTGAGGATTACACAGCACAAGACAGCTCTTCAGCCAGAGATTACAAGGGGTGTAAACTAAGCCGGGGCTAGCAAAGATAAAATGTAAGCCTGCCTTACAGCGCTTAAAGAGAAACAATCAACTCACACTTTTGCTTGCAATCTAAACTTATTAAAGACCAAGAAATAAATTTGTGCTGATTTTTATGGTAGAAGCAGGAGGGGACACAGGACTAGTGCCACTATTTCCAATGCACCTAAAACCAATTATTACCATGCCAATTATTTAGCTGTGAAAGCCTCACCGAGTCTCACTCAGAATTGTTTTCAGGACGGTTCTACATTGGGGTGTTTGGTCAATTTCACCCATGAGAGTTTGGCTTTGTGTGGGAGGACACTAGATTACTGGCGAAAACCCTCCACACATGAGGGGGTGACACTTAACGCTGCCATCTCCTGGTCGCCTCGCAGCCCCACGCGTGCAACACCTGGCACGCCCCGGTAAGTTAAACCACGCAAGAACTAACTAGGTTCTGAGATCTGGCGAGATTGGGCGCATGTTTGAAAGGCCAATCTAACATGTTTCAACCGTGAACATTTCTTCACATATCTGCTGTGGATTCTTCCCCTGCAAATGCGGGAACTTGACCGCTGCGAATTTGGTTGTAGGTACCTGAAAGAGCCACCCGGTGTCCTCAGCGCCGTCAAGGAAGAGCCTGGTGTCCTGCGTCACGGCCGACACGTCGACACGCGGCGATCCCAGCCGAAACTCGACCCGCTGCAGGTTCAAGCCGAGTCCAACGCCGACACCCTTCACGTAGCTCTCCTTCAGACACTGCACGGGGGATCACAGGCGCAGGCAAGGAAGTAACCGTTGTGAATGAAGTGACATGAGTCACGGCAGAAGTCGCAAACGAGTTTTGATTCCTTACCCGTACCCGTACCCGGCCGCACCAGGGTCGCAAACGGGTACCCGTACCCGATACCCGGCCGGGTACGGGTAGCCGGGTATCGGGTAGGGTACGGGTATCGGGTACCCGATTGCGACCTCTGGGATGAAGCCATGTTGCAGGCGCGGGTGGGTTGATTCTAGGAACTTGAATTGTGAGAAGAGACAAGACGTTGGGAAATGAGTGACAAACGGTTACTCACCAGTGACTCACGGCCTACCCATACCCGTACCCGGCCGCACCAGGGTCGGTACGGGTATCGGGTACCCGATTGTGACCTCTGGGATGAAACCATGTTGCAGGCGCGGGTGGGTTGATTCTAGGAACTTGAATTGTGAGAAGAGACAAGACGTTGGGAAATGAGCGACAAACGGTTACTCACCAGTGACTCACGGCCTACCCATACCCGTACCCGGCCGCACCAGGGTCGCAAACAGGTACCCGTACCCGGCCGGGTATGGGAAGCCGGGTATCGGGTAGGGTACGGGTATCGGGTACCCGATTGCGACCTGAGTCACGGCACATTGTTTTTTGTGGGAGATGCGCCCACAGCTACTTTCAATCCACGGTGTCTGACAGTGCTGCACCATAATTCACCAAAGTGCCAAGCTAACCTGTCAGGAATCCAGACCCTGGACAAATAGATCGCGTTGCAGGTATTCTGAATGGCTTAGCACAGATTTGACATATTTCTATCAGCTTTATCACTAAATCACACTGAGCATAGGCAGCTTGGAAATTATATTATATCTTATCAGATTAACTCACCACAAGTGATGTGTGTAAATGTTTGAAAGGCCAAACGAACATGTTTTGAGTCAACTGAAGTTTTTTTTATATTTGTCTCTTTGTGGCAGCTGTGGCATTGATACCACTTAACATGAACTGGAAGCCTCCTTGTGCTTTCTTTGGCTTTTGCAGTCTCGTCTGGATTTTTTTGGGTCATGAGTGATATCATCCGTTTCGCTGATAAGAGGCATTGTGACAGAATAGCAGCAAGTCACAACTACTAATGTCACCATGAATTGAAACACATTACTTGCGTGAAACCTTATTCATCGATTGCACTTGGTGTGCCTGATTCACAATACTTGCACAGCTATCAATTTAAAGACTGCTCACAAAACAGGCTTTTTTAACTAAAGTGCTGACCTCAACAGCTCATACATTATTACTGTATTGTCACAATGGAGCATTCAATCCTGCCATTCAGTGGGGTCTTTATCTTTACGAGGTGATGCTTTATGAGTGTGCTGCATTAAACTGCATTGTTTGAACACTGAGAGGCATAGCCATCGGGCAGATGTGACTTCACTGTTGAAGGGGTTTTGGGGTAAACATTGAAAAATTCTGCAGATCGATAATCTGTCAAATAGAACTGTGACCATGCTGTGAATTGCACAAGCAACGAATTAATAAACACCAAGATATAAAACGTTAACGATCTACGCACATACATGGCATGCTTAGAAGATATGCCAATTCATACAATATGTAAGCGTATACAAATGTAGGCTGAGGAAATAAATATCCTAACGTATTTTTGCACACACCAGTCGAAAGGCATTTTGGTTTCCAGCACAAACGAACACAAGAAGGCACAGTCGGAAAATAGTCTCGTAGTGGTCCTAAGCGAACTATCTCGCCCGGTACACATGAGGTCTTGGGTTCGATCCCAACCCCGACGCCTGTATATTTGTAGTTTGCATGTGGTTGTGTGGATTTTTTCTCCGGGTCCTTAGGATTTCAGCTCCACATTCATAAACATGTGTTAAAGAGTATTTGGCTGCTATATATTTCCACATGATGAGCCACTTCGTTGAGCTATCATTTGTGGCCAGGTCGCTTCTGAAAAAGAGCTATATAGCGCAATAGGCCTTACCTGATATGACGAAAATAGTTTTGTTTACTCCACATATCTATGGCAAGGGTGAGCATATCCATAGTAGAACTACTGTTTGCATATAGGTTATTATCTAACGTAAAACAAAGGACATGCGATATGCATGTGCTTATGGTGTACATTTCATATGTAACGACGATTATCCCTCCACTTCCCGATTGTGAATATTCACAATCTAGGGCCACAATTCTACTCAAGAATCGATGGCTCTAAGTCTAATTTGTAAGGTTTTGTTAATGTTTTTCATTAGTTCTGTCCCATTCACTCCATTACTCTTAACGTAACACTGCCATGTCATTTGCATATTGTACATAATTGATTCATACACGCATGATTAAACACGTGTATCGTGAGCTTGCCAATCGATTTTACTTAATGAAATGATGAATCGTTCCGTGACTGGTGTACATACAAATGAAACAATCTTTGTTTTGCCACTGGTTATATATATGTGTGTGTTTGAACTCTTTCCCCTCTATCAAATGAAGATTGGAACATTTGGAGTCAGCATTCACTTCTATTAGGTGCTCTGATTAACAAACACGCCGGGCTTGTGCGCCGTACTTACAGATGTAACAGCAAAACGTTAGAAACCCTGAAGTCTCCTCTGGGGAAAGTTTACGACCCGTGCCCAATCAATAAAGCTCAATAAACGGCCAGCTCGAGGCACAGCGGTTATTAACAGCTGCCCTGCTTAGCACAGGGTGACTGCTTCTCTCTCCGTCTATATGCGTATGTTGAATTTCTTTCACACCGTACGTAGCCAACTCTGTTAATCAGAGGCACGTGGGAACAACAGCAAACGAAACACAAAAAGCAGTTTTCAATCAATTAGTTTTCAATCTAGATTTAAAAGTGCATAGCTCCAAGTAATCAATTGTTAGAAGCAACTGTTTCACACACTGAATTATGACCTACAATTTAAAAGCCATTTAGCATTATTTTTTTATTTTGTATATTTCAATACACTCTTTCAACTCGTGCACTGTTACCACACGTATGCTTGAAGAATGTCTGGTCTTTGTTTACGAGCAGAAATTACTTGTAAACAAAAATGTTGCTCCGAACATTTTTTCAATAGCACATAATTTAGTCTCTTTGGCAATAGAGCACACGATTCGTCAACGGCCCCCCTACGCCGCATCGGTCACGTGGACTTTTTGACCGCACGTCATGCCGAAACAGCGCAGGTTGGTGAAGAAAGGTTCTGGACCAGTTCAGAATCACCGGCCACTCCCATTCGTTATTGCCAGGAATCAAACTCCGGTTGGCAGGTTCACAGTGCAGCGCACTCATCACTGTGCCACTGTTCCGCACCATTAAATAATTAAAGGAGCAGCTAAATACACAATTCATGACATTTTCTTCTGAGGTGCATGCTTAAGGCATTCGTAATGCCTGCCTTTTTGGATTTGTGACACTAAGCCAGTGTCCGCATCTTTACGTTTAGGCATGTGTCTGCCTTGTCCCTGCCTGAATTTTTCTTCATCTATCCACATCTGTTTGTCTACAAAAGACAAATATAGCTTTAAGAACGTATTAAAATAATAATATCCTTAAACAATGGGACATGAAGTCCTGCTTAGACCTCAACTACAAAACATGCTTTCTCACTGCAAAGACTATGTCTAAGTCCTTGAAGGAAGAAACTCGTAGTCCTTACAGGGACTAGTAACAGGACTGAAGCGTTGCCAAAATGTAGAAACACAAACCACAGCAAAAACACTTTGCAAATATGCAAATATATGTTGCCCTGACAGCTATCCATTGGGTTTACATGCTGCGAATTAAACAGTTTTGTTGACAAACGCATGCTGGAAAGCATCAGATAATTAATGGACAAGCATGATTTATCCTAGCTTGTTTGCCTGATCTGGCTCTGCGTCCGTCCATACCCAGTGTCTGTAGAAGAGCCCAAGCTTCTCCCAGTCACTGCCTCCACTGCGGATGGTTCTCCACTCAAGTGGCGTGAACTGCCGGCTCATCAGCCTGAAAAACTCCTCCGTGGTCTGCCGACCTTGGGAAAGAAATGGGCGTGTGACGAGTAAGCGGCGTAGCGGAATAATAAAAAAAAACAAAGGGGTTTTAGAATGCAAGGGACAGTCAGGACAGAGTGGGGATGGAGGGGCGGTAGGTGGAAAGAGGATGTCATTTTCATTTGAATGTGCGGATTTGTACGCCTGTCGCCATTATTGGGATGGATTTCACTAAGCCGTCTCCGCTAAGACAGGAATGGACACATGGTGACATCCCAGTCACAGCAAGCGGAGCTGGCATTGTGCCACCCTTTTCTCTGCAAAATATTGATGGGGTCGCATACAAATTGAGTATTTATATCATAATCACAAGCGGAACTGAACTTGCAAGAGGGCCAGAAATAACTGCGTAAGATTTCGCTGACAAGTACAGTCAATAATATTACCATTACGAAAGGTGATTTGGTCAAATTCATCCATTACAGTATTAAACTGAGCAGCAGATGTACTTTCTGAGAGCTGCATATATTGCCAATCGAAGGAAAGAAATAGCTTAAACTACTAAAAAAATCTATATTTCTCTTTTCAATTTGCTCTTAATTATCTTATAACAATAACTCAGTCGGATAAAAAGACAGACATCAACATACATCACAAACCAAAAAACGGGCTCCAGCATTTAAATTACAACGCATCAACTTTAACCACAGCATATTGATTGAAATATATTTCTACACTTGGATTTGACATCAAAAGTGAATCTGCCCATGAGCTAAAAAAATACTGCCTGTACACAGAACCCCATTCTTTCGCTTGCAATCGTTTTCAAAGAGACATGGAGTCATGAGCACCGACTGCGGCTCTCATTGGGGTCTCACTACGTTTATTAGGGGTGTAACGATTCACCGCTGTGGCAATTCGGCGAATTTTCCTCGATTTGGGGCTGTGATTTCCTTCAAGAATATGCCACATTCTTTATTTCAACACCGTGGTGAATGTAGCAGCTTCTGGCAGATGCAGGGGTCACGTGAACCCATTACATACAACATAAGCAAATCTAAAAACATCTATTTCTAAACATGCGATTCGATGCACGTATGGATGCATGCACCCCATTGACCAAATCACCAAAAATGTAATCGATCTCATCAGATCTTACGAGGCTAAGCAGGTTTGAGCCTAGATATTGCTTGGTTGACCACTATGTGTTGGGTTGGTATATTCAGCTATGGTGCGACTTTGTCATTAATGCACAGTGCAGCAAAATGCATTGTTGTATTGTACTCTCTACGTTCCATGTCTATGCTGCTCCTCCTTCACCAACACGCACTGACCAGCGTGGTGAAGTATGGTACACCCCCAAGACTCACACAGCGTGGGGCTGCCCTCGTCCACAAATGGAATGACAAAACAATCGTATAAACCGTGAGCTTAAGAATCCATATCAATTGATGAATCAATGGATCGTTACGCCCCAAATGTTTAACATGATGGGGTAATAGAGAGGTACGGGAGATGCATGCAGGTGGCTGCATTAACCCAGGTTGCCCTTGCAACAGAGGCAATGTTTCATGCATGTCTCAACGGGTCATATTTCATCTCCTGGTTAAATAACGAATGCAACAACATCAGCAGCGTTGAAGTGGTATCATCGTGGCTGTGCTTGGACGCACAGGTCGCTCGCGCCATTTGGTGTGTACGCTCTCGCCGACGCGGCATCTCTTTGAAAGCGACAAACAGAAATGTCAGCGAATCGCACGGGCCACGTGCTCCAAGGAAATTGCAGGAGCAGACATATCTTCTCTCTCGTGACACTGCTTTCCATCTGCCTACCCATCGGCACAACTGACTTGGTGTAGTCTTTAAGGAGTTGCTAAAAAAAAATTGTTGTACAAGTCATAGATTGTCGATATTTAGATTTAACAAAAATGGCAATCTATTCATGACCACATTCAATGTATACATTTCAAATGTACACTTTTTTATGCTTTTCACATGTTTACAGCTTTAGTTGTGACCTTGTTTGGTTTTAAGTCTGGACTCAAAACATGGTCCTTTCTTAAGTAATTTTCTAAATACGCATGGGTTATGAGAATAGGATGTGGTAAATTTGTTAAATGCTGAATGATTACTTTGAGTGTGATATCCTAATGTGTAACATATATACTTTTTGCAATGCTGCTGATAAGAGGATGTGTGTGTTGTAAATGGTTGAATGCTGCACGATTACTATTAGAGTGTGAAGATGATGCATGATGTATGGGCATATTGTAAGGCTTGTCGGAACAGGACGTGCAGTAATGGTTGAAAGCTGCATGATTAATATTGAGTGCGGTGTGATGGCGTATGATTCGTACGCTTATTGTAAGGTGCTTTTCATTGATTTTTGAGTTGAAAGGCATTTCACAAGTGTGATTTATTATCATCATAGATGTGACAAACATTTAAGCTCAGCCAACACAGCATAGTATAGGAACCAGATGTTGGCCCGTTATTCCACGTTTTGTTCCCTGGATTATGACAAGACTGAAATTGTGCCAAATTTTATCTAAGATCCACTACCTTTTTTGAAATTATGAGCACATGACACTTTCAGCAAACCAAAAATATAAACGCATTCAACTGTGCTCTTGGACTGGTCCTAATAGCTGTTGTTCTGCAACTAATGCTACGTATCTCATGCATTTAAATTGGCACGTAAATGCGAAGCCAACGCTATATTCCTGATGCTTTCATGAAGATAGATGCCAAAAAAACACAGCATGCCTGGTTGTTCAATTATGGATGCATGGTCATGCATCAGCTTAATTACCTCCAGCGCCTGAGATGATCCAAAGACAAGCCCTTCCATTCATTCATTATTAAAAGTATAACAACGCAGAAATTTTACTTAAAAGGACATTCAAAGGCACGCGAGAATGAAGGAGAAAAGTATTCAGATTCTGACTGGAGCCACGACGGAGAAACGGAGTTCACATCTTGTATGCTTAGAGACACTCGGGACTTGACAATGAGTGAGCATGCTTGAGGCAGTTCAGCGGTTGCGAGATGGGACGTACGATGAGACGGTGGAAGATAAATATGCCAATTAACCCATAATGTGTGTGATTTGTAATATAGTACGGTGCCTTTGTACAGGATGCGGTGCTGAACTGGAAGCCAGCGGAGTTAATTTAGATGCTCTGAGGAATGGATGAAGGGATTGCGCCTCGTGCCGAGCACTGCGTGGTCAAGGCAGTCTTGAATGAGCTGGAGACGTCTGGGATTTTTTGTAGACATGCTGGAGAAGAGTGCATTGCAGTGGTGTCCAGTCTCATATCCGACAATAGAGCAGGCAATGGTGTTTGCCAACAGTGTTCAGGAAAGGACGAATTGCCCAGTGAGATGGTAATTGGAAATGCAGACAATCGATGAAAAGTAAAAGTCGAAACTCAGATTATGTCTTTCCGACAGCCCTGTTCTTCACCTGAGGACGGGTGCTTGCGTTGTGGCCGAAACACCGTGAGATTTTTATGTTGTTATGTTTAATTTTTATTATTTTATTATTTCCCTTCTACGTGACTTTCCCGAAAGAACCAAGAAGATGAATCCCTGCAGTAACGAAAGTGTTAAATCGAAACTCAGATTATAATCAAATAGGAGACCAAGAATCTTAAGTTGTTGTGTTTGAGACACCCAGCTATTTACATATCAGGGGTGGAGCGCATAAGGGCCTATGGTCATGGCCTCAAATACGTATGGATCGAACAGACCAGCAATCAGTAAGAGCAGGAATAACGGACGGCGATGGTAAAGGGTAAGTATTATTAAGTTTAACATAAGCATAGTTGTGATAGCCAATGCCATGATTCTCGATGAGGCGACCAATTGGGGAGATGAAAATGGTGAACAGGATGGCTCTGAGAACAGAACCCTGGGGAACCCCTAGAAGACAATTTACTGGTAATGAGGAGAACTCCGCAGTCAAATAGGACCGAATCCAGTCAAGGGTTAATCTGAAAACATCAAAGTCATGATCAAAGCATTCGCACAAAATACTGTGGCTTATAGAGTCAAAGAATGGCGAGCACAGCAGCAGATCCATGGTCAACGATAGCCAAGATATTGTAAGTTGCCTTGACCAAAGGCCATTTCAGTTGAGTGAGCTGGTCGATAAGCCGATTGCAGACCACGGAAGTTGGGAGACTGGAGGATATCAGTTTTTAGTGCAAAGCAAGCCTTCCAAGGAGGATCTTAGATGTGGAGATATTGTAATATGTCGATCGTTATTAAAGACTAGGGGATAAAGACCAGTTTTATTTACGAGCGGAGTGACTTGTCCACTCTTCATAATACTAGAGAAATAGCCAGAATTAAAAGATGAATTGGTGAGGTGGGCATGGAGGTTCCTTAAAGAACATTTTCAGCAAAGCACTTCGGGCGACTTTTATTTTCTAAAACAAACATACAGGAGTCGCTCATTGCACTCTCAGATTCCAACATACTTATATATGTATACAGAGATGATCATGGAATTTCCTTTGATCAGTGACTTCGCCTTCCTGAGTCAGGGGCCTTAGAATGCTTCTGATTGGTCAGGGTGGTAAATAGAGGCTGGTGAAACCAGAAGTGATTGCCAATGGGCTCCAGATGATGGGATCAAGGCCTTGAACTGGATCCTGAAACATGTTTATAAGCTGCATTCAGGAGCTCTCCAACCCTTCTGAAACTGGTAACATGCACATTATCCCTAATAGGAGCCATTTTTATGATATACCGGATTAATAAGCTGCAAATATCTCCATTAAGGAATGTAAAAATCACTACAGTATTTTCTAATTTACGCAAATTGCATGCAAATTATCTAAAATGTAATTTTAACGTTTAGGCTAATGAAACGAATTAGATGGAACAAGACAGAACATATCAGGCAGACAAGACAGAGGACACAGTACAGTTGAGACAAAAAATATCTAATTCTTAAATCGACTCATGATGCCCAAATCAGGGCAATTGAATCATGTAAATAGTATGTACTAGACCATAAGACAAGTAAGTTGGTGGACATGCCACGATGAATGGAATCGAGAAGCATCGGTCCGGAACTTTATCACCCCATTAACTCCTCCATGCTGGGAAGACATGCTGCAAGAAGAGCAGGTTCAAACAATTCACCCCGCCAAAAGCAATCCATAAATCAACTTATTGCAGGGTTCCCATCTTGCTGCAGAGTATATTGAGTGTATGATAAGTCATTTCAAACACGAAAGGGCTCCCGACAAATGCCAGCTGCCAGATTACACCGCAGAACATGGCAGGGGGCAGCAGACGGATTAACCTGAAATGATGATGCCGACTTTCAACTGTGCCACGGCGACCGCTGTTACTTCCCTCATTTCGACACAAATCTCGGCCGTCTCCAGCAGAGCTTCCATAGCACCAACTCTTAGGTTTTTTCGGTAAAGTCACGTAGGTAAAAATAAATAATAAAATAATAGAAATAAAATAATAAATAACGCCGTTTCGGAGGCAACACAAGTCTCCGTCATCAGGTGGGACCGTCACAGCTAGATTTACTGTATCAGGTGAGGCAAAATTCCAAGAGACAAGCCCTTAAATACAAGTTAAGGGGGGAGGAGGGGGAGGGGGGTTATCTGAATGTGGCACCCAATGAAAGGAACGTGTTGGGGGGGTGGGCGGGGCTAAAGAGAACAATAGGTGCACATGTTGTTGTTTTACCTGGTGTTGGTTGACAATCCAAATAGAAAAAGGAGAGTACTGTTAAACGCTGGGGATGTCAACACTCGGTAAAATAGAATAGTACCTGTTAAATAAGATGGTCCAAAAATGTGTAGTTAAATCTTTTTTGCATGGTTAATAACATCTTTCCAATGATTACTCAGTTTGTACCCATCATCACGGTTGAAGTTGTGTCTGTGTTTGGATATACGCGTGGCGTCCTCTGGTCTAACACCGTTTTGAGACTAGGCTCAAAAGAAAGCTGTCTCTGGTGTGGACCAATCAGTTTCAAAGACAATGCATATATTATCAGATTACGTTTTTTGTTTGCATTCCGACCACAAGTATTGTGGTTAATGCGGACATGATTCCTTGTAAAAGGTTTCAGTTTGGTGTTTTAACATCTTAACACCTGTTTTGTTGCCAGAAAAAAGGAGAAAACCTATTCTCATATACAAGTTAAATAACATGACAGAAAAGTGATGAGTAGGCAACACACATCACTAGATATTAACGACGGAGTTGCAGCCTAAAGGACGTACTCGGCACAATAGAAGTCCATTGCATAGATGGAGTGATGAAATGGGCTCGTGAGCAAGATGGATTTTAGCAAAACGAAACCAGGAGAGACGGTAACAGCTTAAGGAGGCATTCATCCAGCACTGGACAGATCATGGCTGATGAAGATGAATGTTTTTGCACTATAATCTGAACATACAAGCTAGCACAACCTTTGTTATGGGAATGGCAGAGTAATCCATTACAGCTGTTAAAAGTTTGCATTGCTTTCAGAGACAGCATTACAGCCGGCTGCTGTGAATTAAAATGTTACCCATGTGGGTGTAATGCATTTGTTGCAACACACTGAGGGTATGGTGTGCGTTTATACAGCCTGGTCAGAAATGCCATGTTCAAACCAAAGTACATGTAGTTAAAAGTAAAACTAACATTTCCCCTAAAGCCCTAGTTGTACTCTTTTGTACATCTTGGCAAAGCAACATACACGTGAATATCCATCAAACGTGCCTGTGTGAGGTCCACCTACCACACATAAGGTGCTGCTCTGGTCCATCTCAGGCAGGTATAAAGGACATGTGATGTAAAAATCTCTCTTTAAGATTGCCACGACATGGCTACACCATGATATGTTGTACACTGCAAGGTCCATGATAACCGTAATGACCGTTTATCATTGCTAATTTTATTTCATTATCTTATTTTGTGACAAGAAATATGAGTGAAATAGCAAAATAGTTATATCACCCATTAAACATTCTTGTTTTCCTGCATTACAAGTTAAAATAAGCCGATTGTAATCATTAATTTATGTTTATTTCGCTCATATAACTGACAGCATGTGAATTAAAGTTACAAAGTTACAAAGAATAAGAGGATTATAGCAGGTTCATTTTCAGTGAACTACAGTTTAAGAAATTTATATTGTTTCATTCATGTTGAAAGTACATGTACATCAAAGCACAAAACAATAAAAATAAGTCATATAATTACAGACCTATGGGAAAATGTATAGTGGTAATCGTCATATTGCGAAATTTGATATCGTATCATCAACTATAACATCACCTCTCAGCTGATGTTTCATGATGTCCACCCCAATGGTATGTCCAAGCTCTGCAGCCAGCACAGTGAAGTCCCCTTGATGGGACACGTTAAAGCCCAGGGCTCCAACCGAGTCCAGGCCACGCTCCGTGACGTTTTCAGAGTCGAGAACAGGGCGAGGGTCAGAGGTTAGCAGCACGGGTTTTCCCTGGGCGGTACGGCCCAATCGAACGCGCTCCCATGGCAGACCCAACATCTCCACGATCGCCTTCCGCAGAAGTAAACGGCCGGCCTGGAATCAAGAGGTCACTCTTAAAACAGTTGCAAACACTGTTAAGAAACATTTAAAGAGACAATCATGGGTGTTAAGAGCCCTATGTCTATCCACTGCTGGATGATGGCTGTGTCGGTAATGGAGAATGTTTGACTATAGTTGGTGGAGGAGGGACCCAGGACACGCAGCTGTAGCTTCCAAGGCTATAATTCTGATACAGGGTGGTACACAGCTCACTGACAGCTCAAAATATTATTTAGTCTCCGATCATGATGCTAATGGTCCATCTACCGGAAATGGAGAAAAACAACTGAAAGGGGGTAATGTGGGAAGAAAGTAACATTTTAAAGAAATGAAATTCTAATGAGAAGTCCCTCTCTTTTATTATTTTTAAACAATATAAAACATCTGTGCAAATTATGCAAACAAAGGCCATCTTCCCCAAAGAAGTCTGTCCCTTACGGGGCGGTGAAAATATCCACGACGCACCATTGCTGCTTTGGCATCCTCGACAAAGACGAACTCGGAGACGCGCTGCCTCTCCTCTGCCTGAATGCAACGAGTGGCCAGGAGCCATTCGGAGCGTGTGGGTTGCCAGCCCGCCGTACGAAACGCCCAGCGCACTCCACCCACTCCACACATGACGCTGCAGCCAGAGAGAAACAAAAGTGATGCAAGGTACATCATTAGAAACTACAACGCTGGCCCCCACACATTTTTTTGGAAGCCCGAGGCAAAATGAGGCCTCTTGAGCCATTTCTGAGATCCCTTTGGATCTGAGGCTTTGGACAAATTACCCCCAAAGTTACCCCCATACAGTCTCTATAACCATGCTTGAGAGCTACCGACAATGAAATATTTGATATTGTGATTTGAAACCCATTTCACTCCTTTTGCAGATCAGTGACATGTCACATTAAGTGGGCTGTGATTCAAGGTGTTTTTGCCATTGTTCTGCAACTGCAAGATTGAGGTAATACAAAATATATCTATATACATATGCACAAGTACCAATATAATTGATTCGTACAAGCACAATTCCATGCATGTATCATGAGCCTAAACCCTCAATTTGTATCAATGATCTTCTTGGTTCTTTCGGTAAAGTCACGTAGAAGGGAAGTAATAAAATAATAAAAATAAAACATAATAAAATAAAATAATTCTCACGACTGTTTCGGCTACAACGCAAGCAGCCGTCTTCAGGTGAAGAAACGAGTATCAATGAGTCCAGCATTACATGTGTATGTACGCCTCACATTTATTGATGAAAATTGCTCAGCTTTCCAAGATCTGACGAGATCAGACGTATTTCGAGGAATTTTATCGCTGGAAATTTATCAAGGGTGACGTGCAACGATAATCCATGAACGCATAATTATATTTGAGTTGTATTACAATAATTTGACACTGCAGAGCAGCGGTCGGGAACCTATGGCTCGCGAGCCATATATGGCTCTTCCGGTGACGGCATATGGCTCCCAGACAATTTTGAGTTGAAAAAAATAATTTAAAAAAAATCAGTTTGGAACTGATTTTAAAATACTTGTGATATTGCTTAATAATACTGTGTCATTTTAAAGTAAACAGAAATTAGTTTTGAAGATAAAATTTCTCGGGTCACGGATCCCGTGACCAGAAGTCACATTAAAATTAAGACATATTTAATTTATTATACGTTAAAAATACTATATGGCTCTCAATGAAATATATTTAAAAATATTTGGCTTTTATGGCTCTCCCAGTCAAAAAGGTTCCCGACTCCTGCTGCAGAGGAAACCCGCGGCTCGAACCCTAGGGCTGTGTGTGTTTAGTTTGTCTCATCCCCGCAGCGCCTATTAGCACGGTAGGCTACGGGCGGTGCAAGTTCATGTATTAGGTGTAGCCCTCTTCTTGGTTCTTTCGGTAAAGTCACGTAGAAGGGAAGTAATAAAATAATAAAAATAAAACATAATAAAACAATTCTCACGACGTTTCGGCCACAACGCAAGCAGCCGTCCTCAGGCGAAGAATGAAGCACCACCAAGCTTGGAGCGTATATTTAAGCTGGGTTAAAGGGGGGAGGTGGGAAGAAGAGCGCCTAAACAAAATAATTTGCATATCAAGAGGAATTCAGCATATGGAAAATGCGTAGGAGGTGGGCGGGGGGGGTTCCAAATCAATACTATGCCCGTGCATTATGCAGGATTAGCAGCCCTGTGAGCCATTCGGCTCTTGAATCGGGTGCAATCGCAACAAACAAAAACATGAACAAACAAAACATCTTAAAGTGAATATGTGACTTAGTGCAAACAGAAAATCCAAGAAAAGACAGCAAAACATTGCAGAAAAAGCACCGTACACCAACGCTGTGTACAAAAATCCCAGTGGGATGCAAGTCAAACAACAACAACCACAAGACAACTTAGATTAAGGCCATCAGTCTAACTCCGTACTACAACAAACAAACATGGCCCAACCAAAAAAAACTTTTCGAAATCACCAAAATAAAGCCATGACAGCAATGAAACAGTGATCATAGGAACTGTGCAAAAGAGGTTCAACGTACTTATACATACATTCACGCGTGCAAAGAACCCCCGCTGAACTTAGCCAGTGCGACAGTAATCAACAACACGAGACATTGTTTGAACAGTGCCACAGCTGCAGCGATGTGGGGGGGGAGGAGGTGGTCCTCACCCTCCGTGCATCACCACCAACCCACCCAGACGACTCTCCACGCCGCGACGTCTGCAAATGCGTGGCGCGCGTAAACGAAGCGCACAGACGTCCTTCCCCACCCGCCCGAGAAGCGGCCACGGTCAGCAGACCGATCGATCGCCTGATCGATGAGCAACAAGCCGATCGCCGATCGCCTCCCTACCGTTTAATAGTTCCAGCGTGTTGCGATGGAGACGGCATGGCGGCCCGCCTTGACGGGGGGCGGGGCGAGTGACTCGCACACGAGGCCATCTTGCGTAGGGATGTGTAACGGGGTTGGTTTGCTACGCTACGTGACGTCATCGCAGTGGGTCGGTCAGGGGGGGGACCGCCCCCCCCCTCAGTAACAGAGGGGTGTCCCCACGTAAGATGGCCGACTAAACTTTCCACCGCCAACAACGCTCCGAGGAAGGAGTCGCTTTCCGAAACGTCGCCTGTTATATAGTTTCACTTCGGAGGCCACGCTCTTTGACGACGACGAACGAACGTGCCCGAGTGTCCTTTCTTTATACTCTTAGGTTTTTTTTCGGGAAAGCCACGTAGGTAAAAATAAATAACAAAAATAAAATATTTCTATTATTTATTAATTATTTTTACCTACGTGACTTTACCGAAAAAACCTAAGAGTGTGAATCCTTGCAGTCACGAAAGCTTCAAATCTGTCCTTTATTTTTGTCACCTAAAACGAATTCGTCTAACGGAAATGACGTTTCTCCCCCCCAAACCCCCCCACCCCAACTGAGCTATGCCCAAATATGGTGTTGCCATCCAAAACAGACGCGTCACGGCTGCGCGAGGTCAACCAACGGAAGTTGCGTCACGACCCATCGGGTTAACATCCGGGTACTGCGGTCGTGGTGGGGGGGGGGGTTGCTCAAGATGGCGGCGGCGTTGTGCACTCCCGACATTTGTAGGAGCTGGGATAAAGGCGGGCGGTCTGACTTGTGAGTTTCCTTTTAAATCGGCAATCGCAACGGTTTAAAGCCGGCGAGCCTCGCCACCCCCGTCCGTACGTGGAGAATGTTTTTTTTGGGGAGGGGGACCCACGCGCGCGCATTCCGAGTGTATAAAAGGAGGCGGGCGAATGGCGGGGTGGTGTGCGCCTTAGGCGAGCGGGAGGCTGAGTCGTGGCCAAGGCCTCGGCATTAGTGACAATAACGACGAAGAATTCGTGTTGTTTAAACTGTTTTTGATGCGCAAAGTGAGGGGCGCTATAAACAGTTTGTGTAAATGTCGGAAACGGATAACATTGAAGAGTTATCAAACGGTTTCAAGTTTGTGGACGATTGCAAATGTTAAAACTGACATTTAAAACAAAAAAATGGAAGGTAGTTTGCATTAAAAACAAAAGCAGTTGACGCACAAACATGTAACGTAACAATAGAAGTTAACTTTTCTAAACGTTTCATGGTGCATGAAATTAATAATGAAAACAGGTAATTTAAAGTGCGCTGACTTTACATGTACAGCTACTAAAATCATTGTTACATTTTACAAAATAAAACTCGCCTTACAGTGCACTAAGCACATGCTTGTGGAATGTGTCAGGCTTGCACTAAATGGTTAAGCTATCGCTCCTGGTTGGGAAAAATGAACGCAGCGTAGAATCCAAAGAAGATTCCCTCATGAAGTGGGGAAGACATTACCACCGCCAGCATTTTACCCTGAACTCCTACTCGAGCGCTTATTACACGTGTTGACACGTAGCAGATATGTAATGCCCCTTGTCGCCAATTAGACGTTGTACCTGAAACAGTAAAGCAATTTAGTGAGGCGGATTTTAGTAAACCGTGAAACGAGGCGGAAACGATTTATTTCGAGACGGTTTATGAAGACGGTTAACTTGTTTTTGCAAAAAAAGTTGCAAGGACTTAAATTAAGGTATCATGCAACGGGGCGACGTATCCGGTGGCGTGGAAGCTGTGGTATGCGTTATACAGTCTTTATTGACGGTGCATTATTGAAATACTGTAATATATAAGGACAATACGCATAACAGCTTTCAGCACAATGTCACTTAAGGCAAACAATACCCACTACTAGATGTTTTCAACCAGTAATTCCGTAAGGCAGTGGTAATCACAACGGGGTCAACTATTGTCCCCGGTTAGTGGTTTGAAAGGGCACTTCCGGATGCGTTGACACTATACTGTATAGCTGCAAATGCAACCTTCCCGTTTGATCAATGGAGTGCTTTTTCACTTGTCATGTTGCAGCTTGAAGCTGTGCCGGAACCTCTCGGAAGATGGGAACGCAAGCGACACATCTGTCAAAGGTGCTCAATCTTTAATTTTTTTTTCTATTCCAATATGATTGGTTCCAACTCTGGCGTGGCATTTGCTTGAGGACATGGACAGAGTCAAGGCACGTGAACCCATTACGGACTTTCAATTCTCGGCCTCGTGCGTAATAACTGTAGTCTGTGACCCGAATGGCCCTTAAATATATGTTCCGTGTTGTGTTTGTTACGTGAGGATGTGCCTCGTATGCGAAGTGTACTTTTACGCGCAGTGTCGTCTGAAGCAGACATTCGACGCTGGGTCTTTGGTTCACAACCTTCACAAAGGATTTTATCAATGAAAACATGAAAGATACAAACATAACTGTTTCAGAGAGATATGTGCCCAGCTGTCGTTTGAGTAAAGAATACCTAGTGGAACCCCTTGTGAGCCTTCTGCAATCTATGATGGGTCACAGACCGATATTCTCTTAACATAGTTTGTATAATTCCAGTAGTTGTATTTCGGACAAAGCGTTATTTTCTCTTGACTGAATTACTTGAGCGTAATTATTGTCTTGATATTATTCCACAGACATCCGCCGTGCCCTATACGAGCTGGTCTCTAACGTCATTAAAAATACTTTGAAACTGGACCATGCTATGGGGGTACTCAGTGAGGTGCTGGTAAGTTACTTTTTATGCGATTTATGCGTTATTGTGACATGATGCAGATACCACCTATACAGCGTGTCCATTTTTATTACGTTTTAAAATAAATCACGGATATTATGCATTTCCATTCTGATTTTGTGTGTTACAATTTTACACCAACAGGACTTGAGGAATGACTTGCCATCTGTACTTGCGGATGTGTTCTGCATCCTTGGTATGTTGACCCATTATATTACAGATTGTGCACCGATTTTTTTTTTCCCACATGACAATTCATGTCTGCAATTGTTTGAAATTTTGGGAAAATATTATTCTCTCTTTGACCTCCGACAGATATTGAGACAAGCTGCCTTGAGGAGAAGGCTCAGCGTGAGCGATTTGTACAACTAGTCCAAGCATGCACTGTGAGTCCCCAGCAGCAACACATGAGCAAACATGCACACAAGCTTCTTCCCACGTAGCAACGTGACATTGAACCCTCTTACTCGTAGCTCTGTCGTATGCACTTTCATGGGCCGTCCCCTAAAACAAATTGTTACTCTGCTCAAGCAGTCGACTGTGACATAAGAGGTTCAACATACATGATGAGAATAGCATAACCAGGATACAATTTTGAAAAATATTTTTTTAAAGAAAGAGCATACGCTTGTTGTGCAGTGACGTGGGTTTTGCTTCAGACCACCTGCAGTACAAACATTGATATTAAATGTAAGATACTTAAGCTGTGACATTCCAATGTGCTTTGTTCAATATTGTTTGTGGTATAGTCCATACATTACTGGCTACTGCCTCCCTTGCTGCTGCTTGCAATACGTTGTCTAGTGAAGTAGTCTCTAAATGGACACCTGGACTTGATAAAGATCAGCTATTAACTGTTAATAAATAAAAATAGTGTATACTTAGGCACACATAATTTGTTTTAAGGAATTTGATATTCAACTGAAATTGCAGTTTTTAAAATAGATTCGTAGAACAGCTCCCAGTTAAAGGTTGTGTCATTGTACTATTCATAACACATTCCTTGTTTTAGATACATCTTCATTGTTGTTTACACTTGTGGTGTCTCATAGCCTCTGGTGTCCGAGGTGGTGTTGAAAGAGCGCCTGGACCCAGAGACACTGGAGACGTTGGGTCTAATCAAACAGGCCTCCCAGTTCAACCAAAAATCTGTGAAGATCAAAACCAAACTCTTGTAAGTGCCCCCACCATCTGAGCTGCACTACAACTTCACTTTATAACTTCGTTGTGGCCTGGCCCCATTTCACAAGTTATGTTATGTCTAATCCGGTGCATGATGCAAACTAGTACGCTAATTTACCCATTACAGAGCGGTTATGACAATCATATGTCCCTAGATATAGTGCAATATTTGTTGCGTTTCAACAAATATACGTGCATTTTTTTACACACTTGATCTTCCATTCTGACACTTCAGTGATGTCGTCATGCTGACATTACTCTTCAAGGACATGGCAGTCCTTTTGACGTAGCTGCTTTGAAACATAAAGGCACTTGGGTTGTAAGCTTGCTTTTCTCACTCGCTTACAGTTACAAGCAACAGAAGTTCAACCTCCTGCGAGAAGAGAATGAGGGATATGGGAAGCTGTTCACTGAGCTGTGTCAGGACTTGTCTGGGATCATCACGAGTGACATTATGCTGGAGAGCATCAAGTCCCTTATTGGTGAGACCTTCATAATTGGTATCTGCTTGTTAGCTGTGTGTATTTGAATCATCTGTCTAACCCAAATCGTGTTTTTATAAAGCTTGTTTTTTTCTTGTTATGTCAAAATTTACCCCAGAATTCTATTCATTGTCATGGTTTGGGCTAAATTCTGTTTGGGATTTTTGTCTTAATATCTCGATTGTAGAGTCTATTGTTTGTACTATCCCATCTGTCTTTTTATATGCTTATATAATTCTACATATTTATAATAAGTGTCGGAGTCCATTTTTACTAAATAGTTTTTCAATCAAACATAGTGCCGTAATACAATTTCATTTCAAAATCTATTCAGGCCTTCTTAACATGTGTTTGTCGACTGTATCAACTGCGTCTTGGCGGTGACATTCCAGGCTGCTTTAACCTGGACCCCAATCGCGTGCTGGATCTTGTACTTGAGGCATTCGAATGCCGGCCTGAGTACGCGCAAGAATTTTATCTCCCTCTGCTGGAGTCCTACATGAACACGTGCGAGCCACAGACACTCTGCCACGTCCTTGGGTTCAAGTTCCACTTTTACCAGGTTGGTGTAAAGGCCTCAGTTTTGTTCATTACTCTAAAAACTCAACTGTAACTTGCATGGTTTGTGCTTTTATTTGTAATTGTGTTATTTGTAATTGTTGTCAATACTTGGCTGGTGACAGACGTTTTGTGCCGATGCCAGGGTTTAAAGTTTGGTTGTGGAATGAGCACAGTTTTCTGACAGACATTTTTTTTATTTGTTAGACTAAATCTATGAGCTGGCCAGGTGCTTCAGGGCTTAATGCCATGTTGGCTGCCACTACCGAGATTCTATATTGCACTCCAATCAATGACCTGTGGTTAAACCAGCTTGATTGTAGTAGAATATATGGTTTTAGTCTGGTCATCTGTGACCACATCACATCATTACATATATTTTGGAGCCTAGTATTTAAAAAAAATGTATTTATTGTCGTGTAACGAAGTCCTTCATAGCAGGGCATGCGAGAAGGTGCACCACCTATAGTTTGTATAACAGCCAATTCAAGAGACAACACGAGTTCTCTGATTTTATCTTCCAGAAACCCTTTCCCATAGTTGTATAATTATATTTGAAAGTGTTTAATGGCACTGATAACAATTGTAAAATGGACAAATGAATTAATAACTGTCTTCAAGTGAAATCAAACTCTTTAGTCACTCAAATATATTTATCATGTGTCTCCTTTGAGAAATGTTTTGGCCTTTGCCTAGTTATATGGTGGGAGTAGTGTTGCAGTGATTAACATTGTGCGATGAACAAGGTATCAATCAGCAATCAGAGTTCGATTCCTGGCCTCATTTTCTAACAGCAGTGGCAAGTGACATTGGAACCAGTCTTGACCCCCCCCCCGACCCATTACTTACGGAGCAGCATGGTGAAGTATGGTCAAGCAACCCCTATGACTAACAGCATGGGGAGACCGTCATAACTTATATTTACTTGTTTTTAAAAAGGCTTTGTATTTTTGTGTTCTCATTAGGAACCAAATGGAGAGACGCCACAGTCTCTGTACCGTGTGGCAGCCCTGCTGCTGCAGAGTGAGCTGATCGACTTGGAAGACCTCTATGTGCACGTAAGTGCCCGATAAACATTCACCCGCTTCTGCTCTGTGCCCCCCATCCTTTATAGCCCTGTGCTCACGGTTAATTTTGCTTCTCGCTCCAAAACTTTTTCACGCAGCTCCTGCCCGTGGACAGCGAGATGGTTGAGCAGCACAAGCGGGAGTTTGCCGAAGTCCGGCAACTCTTCCGCAAGATGAACATGGTCGTGCTGCCCACCGACAAGCCTGAGGAGAAGGAGAAGGAAAAGGACAAGGAGGACGAGCCGAAAGAAAAGGTACTTTCATTTGTGAATCTTCCTGATTTCTCTTGATCATGCTCGAATGTTTGCATGTGAATACGGACACTCGGTGCGTTTGTGTCGTTACAAACAATGTGCGGTATGTGACCACATAACCCGGAATGCGTCCCCACTCATCAGAGCATAGAAGCTCAGAAAGGTCCAGTCTGTAAAGTGCTTATATGTGTGACCATGCAAATCGAGGTTGTCTAGGACTATGGGGCTATATGGTGGGGACCAGAGGACAATGCAGCAAAATGGATTGTTGTGCTTTACTTCGAGGCTCCCCATATAATTGTTCTCCACCTTTACCAACCTGCACTTACACCACATGTGTTGAAGTATTACCAAATAACCCCACGGAGCTATACGGCGAGGGAAGGCTATGATCCACCAGTGCATAGGTTTCGTGCTTTTTTTTGTTTCAGTTGCCAGACAACCAGAAGTTGGGCCTGTTGGAGGCCTTGCTGAGGGTTGGCGACTGGCAGCACTCCCAATGCATCATGGACCGCCTGCCACCCTTCTTCACCTCATCCCAGAGGCCCATAGCTGCAGCAATGTGCCTGCTTATACACTCTACCATAGAGCCTTTGTATAGGAGGTGAGTTCACTGCAACATTCACCTGAAGAAAGACCCAACCTAAAATGAAATAGCCTTTGTAGATACAAACCAATATTGTCCTCGATGATCAGACACAAGTTTGAAACTTTGTTAGTGAGAAAAAGACAGCATCTGGCTTTTTGACATGATATTGCACATTTCACTAGATCTTCAGTGCTCTAGCATCTCTGCAGTGCAATTCAAGTGTGCCTGACCAGAATGTTTTAAGTACATTTTCTCATTAACAAGCTTCTAACGTGTTCTGGCAGCCGAGGATGTAGCATCTAGTTAAATATCGACAAGATAAAAGCATTTTCATCTTTTTACAGTTTTCTTTAAAGCTGGACAGGCTGTATTTGGGTTGCATTACATAAACCTTGGGGTCTTCCACTGTGCACACATCTGTCAGATGTAAGTTTTTGTAATATTTGTTACCTTATGTTTGGGTGTTTTTCTCCACACACATTACAAATTGCCGTCTGAGCCCATGACTTCGCTGACGTAAAGCATACTTTTCAGACATTAACTTGTGTTATTTTTCATCAATGTTATTTCTTAAAAATCTTAATTATAATCCTTTGTCTCATCAGTGCTACCACTTCCCTGTGAACTAATCTATACGGTATTTTCTTCTTCCCCAATATTTTTATCATTGTTAAGTTTATTCAATTTGTGCTCTCAGCATGACGTCATAGATTAAGGTAGTTTATTCTTAACTCTTACAGAGCAGTTAGAGAACAGCCTGTGGAAGAAATCACAGAAGTGATTACAAAATTACTTCAAGTGAACTCTTAACCACCCTAGAACCACTGCACTTTGTCACATGCTGTCGAGGGATGTTTATCACATGGCATTCGAAACGGAATATTTCTTCTTAACAGATCTATAATTTTGCCGAGTTTCGTAAAAAAAAAATCTAATTTTATTTCATGACCTTCATGCACAGTAATTTGTGATGGGGCTGAGACCGCTATGTAGTTGAAAGTTAAATAACGCGTTTAATCTTCAACGCTTCTTTCAGGTCGGGACTGCCGCGTGGAGCCAAGGGACGGCCGTTCCCGCCGCTGCAGAATCCGCGGGCGTTGCCGCTGGTGCGCTCTTTCTGGGACATGCGGCGCGACATTTTCCAGATGCTCACCTACGTCGGGCCCCACCTCAGCCACGACCCCGTGCTCTTCGCCAAGATTGTACGCCTCGGCATGGCGTTCATGAAGGAGGTGCAGAGTCCGTCCCCCCCCCCCCCCACCTTGTCCAGTAGCAGAATGCACAAAACGAAAACGCCCGCTACGCACGTTTTAATGCTAGGAGAACATGCCCTGCCTTCACATTCTGTACAAGGAACTGATAGGATGCTTACATTGTTTATTGCATGACTGAATGCTCACATGTTTTTATTGTGTAGGTGTGACTTGCGCCCCTTGTTTAGAAGGACTTTGGCAACAATTACGAGACAACAATTGACACTCTCCCCTTTAGGTCCTATTGTCACGGTTTGCAGTCAAGATCATTTTAAGATTGTAATTTCTTTTCTCATTCTATCTATTATATTTCATCCCATTTGCTGCTCTTGAATTGTTTAAACCTTTACACAAAAATATTGAAATAATTTGCATAAATCGTAAATGATAAATTATTGTACATATGATTCAATGTTTATCTCCAGAGAAGTCATTTTCAATCAATGAACTCGCATTCCTTATAGCTATCACTGTTCAATTTTATTTAATTGAAGTGATTGACGTGTCCTTTCTTGTTCATATATATATTTCATCCCATCTGCACAGAAATTTTATATTCATAAATTCATTCTGCTATGTACAGCAGTTAAAATATTTAAGGTATGCATTAAAGTCCAGTATTGGGTCATATGCATTGAGTTGTTTTGTTATCCACTGGGTGCATATAAACGCTTGAATATTTTGAGTTTATTGCTTAGCAAAGATTAACACATTTTATATGGCATGCAAAATTTTATTAAGAGTTGTATTTCATTCTTGGAGTTCAATTTGGATGTACTTTTTTATCTGCAGTATTCAGCGGATGCATCAAAATCAAGCGATAAAGAAAAATGGGTGAGCATGAAATTGCATTCATACATGATCACCTGATGACGGAGACTTGTGTTGCCTCCGAAACGTCGTGAATTTTATTATTTTATTTTTTATTAATTTTAATTTCATTTTTTACCTACGTGACTTTACCGAAAAAACTAAGAGTGTGAATCCTTGCAGTCACGAAAGCTTCAAATCTCGAAGCAGTACCTTTTTTAATTACGTGAAGTTTGATAAATATGATGTTTATAGACTGCACAGTCTCCAATTTTTAAGCTTGGAATGTTAATCAAATGTGCAGAATACATTTTAATTACAATTGACATTCCACATCTATCAAGCGTAGACCTATGAATGGTAAGGCTTAAAGTGAAAGCGGTACATGCTTGAATGCGGCATGGTTTATAGTTTCGTATGATATGTGTTTTTATTCTAAGGTAATTTCGAGTGTTTTATTCGATGAAAAGCACAATATCAATATTCTGGGTTCTTTCGATAAAGTCACATAGAAGGGAAATAAGAAAATAATATTAATATAAAACAATAAAAATTCTCACGACGTTTCGACTGCAACACAAGCAATCATCATCAAGTGTGAAATCCACAGCAAGAAAATTTGCTGTGGATTTCACGTCGTGAGAATTTTTATTGTTTTATATTTATATTATTTTATAATTTCCCTTCTACGTGACTTTACCGAAAGAACCAAGAATATTAATCCCTGCAGTCACGAAAGCTTTAAATCACAATATCAATGTTATTATTTTTGTTAAATTGTCTTGTTTCAGGAATCTCTGCTGAGTTGTTTCCTAAGTATCACGGACCAAGTACTGCTGCCTTCACTGTCACTCATGGAGTGCAATGCGTGCATCTCTGAGGAGCTGTGGGGGCTGGTGCGCTGCTTCCCCTACCAGTACAGGTTCGTCTGGCACCCTCTTACGCTATGTGTCACGTTGACAAAGACAAATAGTTCACTGCTTTAGCCCACCGGTGTGTTGAAGCCACAACATTTACAATTTGAGTACGACGTTTCGCTGGTAATTGCAACCAGCATCATCGGGCAATTCGCCAGAATGGTGAGGCTCTGCTGTGTCTCCCGTTCTGGCGAATTGCCCGATGATGCTGGTTGCAATTACCAGCGAAACGTCGTACTCAAATTGTAAATGTTGTGGCTTCAACACACCTGTGGGCTAAAGCAGTGAACTATTTGTCTTTTGTCAACGTGACACATTTTTACTGATTGGCCGTGTCGGGTGGTGGAGGGTTACGACACATTTATAAATAACGCGATCTAAACCCAAAAACGTTGATTATGAATAACATTGGTCGCGAAAGCCTACGTGTTAAACTGACAAAATGGAGTTGCTTTTGGCAAGCTTTTACCTTGCGATGGGAAGCAAAACATTTGAGATTTTCGAGGACATTTAAACACTATTTTCTTAACTTTGTTCTGGAAGTGGAGAAGGGAAAAGTGGTTTCTTTTGCATCAAATAATTTTGCTGGTACGTTCATTTAGTTTTAATAACATGGTGATGATGGTAGAAGAGTATGGAAATTCCGAATATATAATATACCAAAATGATTGGTTTATATAATGAATATATGGAAAAATAAACTATTGTATTAGTTCTAGAACTATTTCAGTCCGAGCAGTTAAATCATATGTTATCCTTGAGGAAATGGAATATGAATATCATGAGAGAAATTCAAGGATTAATATTCCTTTACTGCTGTTTTGGTAAAAATGCATCACAATGCATATGGTAGGTGGCACAAAAATGCTGTGTTTGTCTTTGTGTGTGGACTATTATAGACTAGTATTTGAGGGTTTGATATTTGTAATTCCTGCCTGCTATCTATTTTTACGAAAACATTTCAAAGAACATGGAAAAAATATTTTTTTTTAAACTGAAAATTGCATAGAAAAGCCAATTTTCCCAGGAACATTAGGGGTATTACAATGGTCTATACGCGGAACCTGTGAATTTTGGATAATTAGAGCTCTTTCCCTGACACGTAAGTAATAATTGCAGTCAATTACCAGACAAACATTTGCTGTCCATTAAATTAATGTGCCTGATTTTAAGAGATCATGCTAAATGGATTTAACTTGTGCCGTGTGATATTCCCTGCAGCTGCTTTTGAAGTTTCGCCAGTGCACTTATTTTTGTGGCAGTATGGAAGTGTATTAAAAAAAAAATCTGTAATATTGAAAGGTCCCTAAACTGAAATTTATCATTTTCAACAATGACATTTGGTCATCCATCTGGTGTTATTTATCAGCATTCTTTAGACACCCCCGTGTTGCACACTGCTTACTGGTGTCAAATTGAACAATGTTTGCAATTTCTGTGATTTTAATTTTTAAAGAGTAAGTGCACCTGAGATTTGGCCTTTGGGCATGGCAGTTGTTGTTTTGGGAGAATGCAGCCCATCAACGTAGCAACTTGTCTGCCGGCACTGAATTTATACATGAAGAAATTACGTTTTTTTACTAAAATAACTCTATTACATACTCAGTCCCAAAGCATGAGCACATGGTGTGGTGAGTTTGGTGGCAGGATGTGTGCAACCTTTAGTACATGTTTGGAGGTTTGCAGAGAATTTGGGTTGGTGATTTTGGTGCCATAGTTTGAAGATGTGTCACCCTTTCGCCATTTGCCCTCCTCTGCTGTTTCTCCCAAGGTATCGGCTTTATGGCCAGTGGAAGAACGAAACATACGCCAGCCACACACAGCTCGTGAGGATCAAAGTGCAGACCGTCGACAGATCGAAGTACCTCATGAAGTGAGTGTGTTCAGAAGGACAATATTGAGCAGTTTCAGTAGAAGCTATGCTTGTTGTTATTTGTATATGCTTAAATTCTCCTTGCATCAATGGTTTATATCATTTTTATAAATATGTTTTCTCTTGTGCGTTTTTTGTTCGTGTGATTTTGACTACAGTGCTGATTATGAATTTCCCCTGATCTACATTTCATTGCAGGCGTTTGACCAAGGAAAATGTGAAGCCTTCGGGCAGGCAGATTGGGAAACTGAGTCACAGCAACCCCACCATTCTCTTTGACTATGTAAGTTTATGTGACAACATTTTAATTGTTGTCCTTCCTCCGCATCGCCACACGATTAGCATGGTTGGCTACATTACGGTGTGCAAGAAGTTCAACATATGTACATAATTGGTAACATGCGATTATTATTTATTCAGAATTATAGGAATACTATAGCAATTTAAAGCGCTTTAAATGGCTTGTTGTGCATTTTATTATTTCCACATGATTTTATTTAGGAAAAAATTCATGCTGAAAATATATAAATGTCTGGAAAATCTTCAACACTTTGCACGACAAAACCTACTCTGTCTCGACTGGTCCTGAAAGCAGTACAATTCTGACACACCATTAAATAAGCTTGTGTGTCATTGTTTTTGTCCACATAATGTTAGTGCTCGCGTTCCGGGTGCAGAATGCTGCGCCATTGTTTTGATGCACGTTTTGCTGTCCCGGTGCTCGACAGGCAGCATGTAACGGGCGATTGCCTCCACGGCCCCTGCTGTGTGTAGACTTTGTCCGTCCACTCGGCCAGTGTAATTTGTCCCTGCACGCCCAGGCAATCGACGAGTGAGCTATGTGGGATTCGTCCACGAGTGGTTAAAATCGAGAAATATGAGGACAGGGCACCTCGACTGACCTTGCTCACAATTGCGTTATACTTCATTTGCTCTGTCTGAATGGGGTCACGGGAAATTTCTGGCTGAACATGGAGCATTCAGTCTTGACAAGGCACACAGGTTCCTTTTCGCTTGAAATGTACGGCGAGGCCGGCAGTAAGTGCTGCCATGATTGAACTCATTTTCTGTAGGAAATGATTGCACTCATTTTACAGTCCAGCTTGCATCCTATAATTGTATATTTCAGTTTTTTTGTTGCAATGGCTACTTTGATGTACAGCTTTAAATGTGCCTTTACTATGAGTGAAACAGTCAGAGTAAAATGTTTTTTATGTTTTAAAACGCTCAAAGCGCGTGAACACGTCAACTTATTGAATTTTGGTGCAGGTTCTTACGCCCTATAATTAACCCCTCAACATCTCTATCGCTTTTTGACACGTAAAAGATGTTTGCATGCCCTGTCTAACACCACTGTTTCGTATTTTTTTTTACAGATCTTATCCCAAATCCAGAAATACGACAACTTGATCAACCCAGTGGTGGACTCGCTCAAGTACCTCACCTCCCTCTCGTATGATGTGCTTGCCTGTATCCTTTTTGCACATAGGGTTTTTCATATGACCAAAGTCTAATCCTGCTGCAGTGTTGGCACTTTTACTTTGAATGCAAACTCATTTGTACAGAGTAAGCTTGTGCACAATTGATAAAAAATGTGGCACCGTTATTATTTAATGTAGACATTATTAATCACATTACTTAAGTTAATGACATTTATTTCTCACGCTTGTTTTATCAGCCATGTTTTTCATTCTATGTCTTAGCAGCTTGTATCCATTGATTAAGAAATGTCTGGAGGCACGTTAGGTATGAGTTCCTAAACAAGCATGGACAATGATGATTTTACCAGCGTTGTTGACCCTTGTTTATTTGTTTATCTTGTGAGCTAGAAAGAAACATGAGTTTAGCTACATTGTTGCTGGACAGGTTCAGTGTTTAGGAGGGAGGATGTTTTCCTTGACTGAATGCCACAGACTGTATCATAGAAGCGCTCGCGAATCCAGACAAGGAGAAGATGAAGCACGATGACACCACCATCTCCCTTTGGCTTCAAAGTAAGAATCTGCAGGAGGGATTCACAGCACACTGTGATAAACTATGTAGCCCATCATTCCAACTTGTAGAGGTAGCATTACACTCATCCGTTACCCAGTGGTGGAATCTAATGACCCGTTGTTTTGTATTTGCCGAACAGTATTTCTCCACTCTTGACTAGTATGGAAAGAAAATAGGTCAACCATCGCCAAATAACCAACCTATTTTAGTCTTTCAGGGTCCCTCATTCTCAAGAGGTGATTGACTACGTTTTGTTATGCTCAATAAAATAGAATGTGGATTGAATTACAGTTGTGCACAATTATATATATAAAATCAGTGGCATTCGATCAATGGCCCTTCAAAGTACATACATTTTCAATAACACTTAAGCTGTTTCGATTTAAATGTCATAACCCTTAAACCAGACACTCTGATTAGCACGGTTAGCTACGTGCGGTATATACAAAATTACGTCACAGCTTGCCAATAGCATTACGGAGATTTGTAAAGTTTGAGCATGATTGCTGCAAATCCGTTTCAAAAAAGCTTTTTCATATGAGATGAGAAAAAAACCCATAACGCAATATACATGATTACGTAGGGAAGTAAGCTCGTATGCTTGACGTGTACATTAGTGTTTACATGTGCATATTTCTTCATCTAATCAAGTCCCTGAGCAAGATGGATAATTATAATGATCTGACTTGCCAGCTTGTTTTTATTGTTTGTTTCTTTACCTAATCATCCTTAATTATCCTTATCTTTAATCGGCTTACACCAATTAACACTCAATATCAAGAATTTTGTGGTACTGGGCTTTTTTTTACGTTTGCTGCTCCTTTGCAAGTGCCATGTTCTGAACTCTCATCCATCATCATCACTCTTATGAGTGTAGCTACCAAAACACGACTTCTCAACTGGATTCTAGATTTGAAGCTTCTAGATTTTAAGCTTTCGTGACTGCAAGGATTCATACTCTTAGTTTATTCGGTAAAGTCACGTAGGTAAAAAATGAAATTAAAATTAATAAAAAATAAAATAATAATAAATCATGACGTTTCGGAGGCAACACAAGTCTCCGTCATCAGGTGGGACCGTCACAGCCAGATTTTCTGTATCAAGTGAGGCAGGGATTCCAAGATGCAAGTTCTTAAATACCAGTTAAGGGGGAGCTTTGCCCACTCACATTATCGTGTGTTATGCAGCTCCTCCAGCTTGGTGCAGGGGTGAGCAGGAACCTGTGTGGGTTGTTTTACAGGTCTCGCAAGCTTTTGTGGAGCTGTTTTTCGCAAGTACCCAATAGAGCTCACTGGCCTCCTGCAGTACGTGGCCAACCAGCTCAAGGCTGGGAAGAGGTAAGCATCCGTATGGTGCGACTGATGTCGATATTTATCATGGAGATATTGATACCAAGCCCACAGCCTCAATCAAAACATGGTGTTTTTACACCGCTGCTTGTATTTTATCACTTGCAATGCAATCCAGTGGGAATTTTAATTGTAATCAGAACTTAAGATACTTTACATGTAGTGGAAGACAACTTGTGATATTTTTGTTTTTAATTGTTGAGAAAAAATATGATCTTTAATTGGAAGTAAAACTAGTGTAAACACATGGGCTACTTAAATATTCAAGCTGCTGCTTGTAGCCTTTAAAACCATTGCCAAACCAGTTAAAATATTCAACTTAACATACATTTTAAGATACGCAATTAATGCATGAAGTAAAAAAATGGCGCGTGAGCGTTAGTCAACATTTTTGTGATGCAAGTTTGTTAGGAGTGGGAAGCACAGGTGGTGCATCATTCATCTCAGTCAGTTTACCCACAACACCTGGGTCTGTCTTATGACCTGCCAGCGAACCTTTGAAACTTCACGTGGCCTCTACTTGTTACCTAGCCTGGCACAAGCGCTGTGATGTCACTTCGTGGAAAATAGCGGCCGCTTTGTTGCTCCGTGTGCCTCGCAGTTTTGACCTGCTGATACTCAAAGAGGTGGTGCAGAAGATGGCCGGCATCGAGATCACGGAGGAGATCACCAACGAGCAGCTGGAGGCGATGGCCGGGGGAGAGCTCCTCCGAGCCGAGGTGAGGAGGGGCAGCCGCGAACCCCATCATTCACGGAGGGCTTTAATCTAAACCCCAGGAGATGGATAATGAATGATTCAGCGCTGGAGTCTCCTGCCGTGCGTTTCAAGCCAAGTTTGTTAAGAGCATTAACTGACAATGCTGTTTTATGCACACACGACCCGATTGATGTGCTGCGAAACTTTTATTGGTGATTTGCTTCCATCACTGGCAATGAGGCAAATTGATAAGTAGGAGAAAATTTTGTGGATTCTGTCCTAAAGAATGAGAAACAGCGCAGTTACCCCCCCCCCCCCCCCCCCATGTGACGCGGTGACAATGACTGATGATTGACATCATAAATCTAGATTCACCTCGACCTTGGCTCAAGGTGAGCAGGGAGAACGTTATTATTAGGACAAATTGCACAGCACCCTGTGCTTGTTTTTGAACCTTGTGTGTGAAATTGATTCATGGAAATTATCCATTGTATGCTAATTGTATATTCAATGAAGAATGAAGTCATTCGTCGGTCATCAAGTTTTGAGCTTATTTTGTTTAAACAGGTGAGAATGCAAGACATCAGGAAAGTCTCATTTACAAGAGTAACCTAGGGCATGAGTCTGCCAGTAGGGGCAATGATTGCTATGCATATTCCAAATTGAGTAATTTGCAGGTAATTTTCGAATTAGGCAGATTTGGGCCCTGGCACACAATGGCCTTCTATTGCAAATTACATCAGCTGATCTTTAACGTCCACTGTGAGTGAAGCTGATGGAGTGTAGCATTATTATGGTTATTAAACACGCAATAATCAGGCTACCACTGTATTCAAACCACGAGCCTCTGCAGCAAGCGGCGAACACTCTACTGGTCGACCTTGTTACGGCCCTAGTAAATAGTGGCATTTCTAATAAACACTTGTTTTTAGTATTACATCAAATACAGTAAAGAAAATGTTGCTAGGTTATGACACTTTCATTATGGCGAAATTAAAGCTACATATAATACAGTGACAGTCACAGTGACGCTTGACTTGTGTGTGCATGTGCTCCTGCAGGGTGGCTACTTTGGGCAGATCAGGAACACGAAGAAATCGTCGCAGCGTCTCAAGGACGCCCTGCTGGACCACGACCTGGCGCTACCGCTTTGCCTGCTCATGGCGCAGCAACGCAATGGCGTCGTCTTCCACGAGGGCGGCGCCAAGCACCTCAAGCTCGTCGGCAAGCTCTACGACCAGGTGCGATCCGCACACATTTCACTGCCACATACACATTTGATGCTGCTGTTACAGTTAACTCTTGATTTGTTTCGTGTTTGGTCCAGCACGTGAAAAATTTTATAATACATGGAAAATGTGACATTCCCCACCCATTCGCACATTTATGTTGATAGCTGAGTGACCGAAGGCTTAAATGAAAACTTTATTAATGTTGCTCTGTTGCAATAATTTACCAGTCTGAGGTGCCTCTGAGCAACCACAGAACTGCTAGTAACTTCCCTGCTCTGCTGGCCCAGCGAACACATTGCGTAGCCACGGTCTGCAAACACACGTGTGCATCATGACACGGATTCTGTTTTCCACGACAGTGCCATGACACGCTTGTGCAGTTTGGAGGATTCCTGGCATCCAACATGAGCACGGAGGACTACGTTCGACGCATGGCGCCCATCGACATGCTGTGCCTGCAGTTTCACGCGCCGCACGACGCTGCCTTTTTCCTTTGCAGGCCGATGTACGCACACCAGATCATGGTGAGTGTTCGAAAATTCATCTATCTGTCCTTTCATCATCCTTAGTCATGATCAGTCCACTGCTGGATGAAGGCTTCACCAAGCTGTTGGCATCTCTCACAATACAGCGATGCGACAATCCATCTAGCATCTGCATACGAGTTAATCCTTTATTTCCATCTCCGTGATAGACATCCTCTTGGGCACGTGAACCTCCCTTGGTTGCCATCTAGGGCGGGAATATTCTTACGTACAATAATAGTGGAATTTTGCATTTATTAATCAATTATTATTGATTATTTAGCTTCTGGCATGTGGATAATTGGCATTTGTAAGAGTCAATGTTTATGATAAACTTTCCTTGCATTGTGGAGATCCCTTTGCAAAATAGCTGGTTACATAATGTCTGATGCACTGCACATGAATAATAACAGGTTTACTACCACTGATGATAATCAGCTCAGAAAAGCAATATATTCACAACCAGTTTATTTAAGAACTGTGGGTTGTTGCAAGTTGCCTGGTGAAATTGTCATGATGAAATGTAATGTAAACACAATACTAATGTCATTTTATAAATATGCTAAAAGAAAGTGATGGTTTGGTTCACCAAGGATGATGATTTTATATGTTATTAGTGTTAGCCGCGAGACTTAAAGCAATTTAGAATGTCAGGCTGCCCTAGGAAGTAAAACCAAATTATCTCTGAGATGTACATTTTGAGTGGCCAAATTATACAGATTTATTTTGTTCATATTTTTTACTTGGCAATATCTGTGCCAAATCTCAGTCGTGTAACTGTTCTAGAACACTATTAGCGTTGCATCAGTCACTCGGGCGCGATCGTCTATTTTATCTCGCTTGCATCCCTCGCCCTGTGTCCGCCATCAGTCCAAGTACGAGGAGCTCAAGAAGGCAGACAAAGGCAACAAACTGAACAAGACACAGCGTTACATCCAAGCGAGCATGGCGGTGATGAGCCCCGTGCAGGAGGCGGTGACAGCGCTTCACCCGACGCGCGTCTGGGAGGACATCAGCCCACAGTTCTATGGCACCTTCTGGACGCTCAGCATGTATGACCTGTCGGTGCCCACGGCGAGCTACGAGCGCGAGGTCGGCAAGCTCAGGGCACAGTTGCGCGCCATCGACGACACGCAGGACATGGTGCGTGGCTTTCACAGCGTAACGGAGGATGGTGTGCGTTCATCGATGATGTTAAGCTTTTTAAAGTGTATGGTCCTCTTGACTGCGGCTGGTGTTGGACCACTACCCCAGACCGTAATTCCTCTTGTCGTATGAGTCAGTGGAAGTCGAATGGTTGGTGGATTTTGGTGTATGCCCCAAACTCGCTGGACTGCATGGTAGGCAGGAGTTGGAAGTACAACCATTGGGCTGGTGAATCAGTTGATTATTTGTATTTATTATCTTGCTTGTGTTTGCCCAAGAAAGCCTCACAGAGTCTCAACACTTTTTTAGGAGGGCCCTGACAAGTTTTACCAGTGGGAGACGATGTTTATACGTGTAATTGATGTAATGTGCAGATAGTTTTTCAGCATTGGGATGTTTGGCCACTATCGGTTACATTGTAAGTTTTCTTTGCTATGGGACACAACTGGAGAACTTGGAAGAAAGTCCTGCAGAACAGGGGGAGAACACAAAACTCTGCACTGAAAGGTGCCCGAGTCAGGAGTCAAACCCCCCAGGTCCTTACTTTGAGGCACAAGTTACCATTACGCCACCCAGTGGATCTTTGTTATTTCGTGTTTGCGGTGTACTCCAGTTTGCTCCAACTGAAAAAACACTGCTTTGGGAAGACATTTACTGAAGATCAAAAGCAGGACCTACTGAAAAAAGTTAATACTCAGCGAGGTTTTTTTGGAGAAAGTAAATGCTTCTAATTCTCATAAGTGACTCAAATTATTCCCAAATTGCTTAACATTTCAACTATGCTCGGTTAATTCACCTCATTTAGATTAACCATTGCAAAGGGGATGTGAATCAGGGGGAATACATTTTGCTGTTTGGTTGCAAGCAGCTTTTAATTTGTTTTTAAGGCTTGTATAACCAAATGTACACAATGACAGTGGTGCACATTGAATTTTCTCTGCATTATTGCAGACAATGTTCTGTGATAACTCCCTTTATTGGCAAGCAAGCCGACCGCGAGACTACACAGAGCTGCCTGAATATTAAAGCAAGCAAATCATTTCGTCGGCTGACTGGCGCTTTCCCGCGTTTGACTCCGCAGCCTCCAAACAAGAAGAAGAAGGAAAAGGAGCGGTGCATGGCACTGGTGGACAAGCTGAACGACGAAGAGAAGAAGCAACAAGAACACGGGAATCGAGTGCTGATTCGGCTACGGCAGGAGAAGGACAATTGGTTCCTTGCAAGTACGACACGCTCCTCTTGCCCTCAGCACGACGCGCACGCAAAATGCCAGGCTCTTGACTTCAGCCTTACCAAGACTAAATTTCGATTTAGAGCTTTCGTGACTGCAGGGATTCATCTTCTTGGTTCTTTTGGTAAAGTCACGTAGAAGGGAAATAATACAATAATAAAAATACAATTTTAAATAATGTTTTAATTTTATTATTTCCCTTCTACGTGACCTTCCCAAGACTGTCAAAATTACAAGATATTGTTGGCTAAAAGCTTTCCGCACCTCTATTACACAAAGCATTTAAGTCTATTGAAATATTAAAGTGTTGTTTACAAATAGTGTTTTTTCTGTTATGGACATGATGCCATGAGATTAAATTTGCATGCAGGAACTCTTAGAGCAAGCTTGTGCACCACCTCGTATCAGATTAATTTCCCTGGAAGATGACATCACAGAAACACTTGTGAAGTCAATTCAATAGGCCCAAACTTATGAGAGGCATACCTCTTGTATGCCCTGCTAAGAGTGTTCTTTGCATGCTGGAGTTATTGAAAGCCCTAATTTAATACATTTTTCAGTACATTAATTTATGTATTTGAGGCTTCAAACCTCAATTATTTAACCATGGGAGACTGCTCATGTTAAAATGCAAGGAGCTTCGCTCTACTGGCTTTTCATGGTGTTATAATTCTCTCTTGATTTTGACTGTTCCTCACCCACAACTTTTTCCCTGCCGCTTTACAGAGTCAACGAAGAATGAGACCATCACGAAGTTCCTGCAGCTGTGCGTTTTCCCGCGCTGCATCTTCACGTCGAGCGACGCAGTCTACTGCGCCAAGTTTGTGGAACTCGTGCACCAGCTCAGGACCAACAACTTCTCCACACTGCTGTGCTACGACCGGGTACTTCTGCAAGAGCACTTGTGCCAATCACGCTGCACAATGGATAACCCACTGAGAAAATTAAATTTTTGTACACATGATGATTGCGAAACATGTCCCATGTTAACACAGGGCACTGATTCAAAGGAGATATTTCTCTCAACTTATAAATCATATTCTTAGATGTGCAATTTGTTGCATGTATCTTGAGCGGGAGAATCGATTTTAAGCAGAACCGTTACACACCAGTGCACGCATAAAACTTGCATTGTTGCAGCCCTTGACCAATCCTCTGCTGGATGAAGGCCTCTCCACGACATGTTGATCGTGTGGGGTTACTTTACTATCAGTCACCAGGCTGGTCAGAGTTGATGAAGGGAGGACCTCAGTGTTCAGATATCACTCGCCACTGATGTTAACTGTGGCTAACAAACTCAGGACACCAGGTGAAAAATTTAAATAAATTAAATCACGACGTATCTTGCGCAACACAAGCGTCCTTCAGGTGGGGACAACTTAGCGAAAGCACAACGCTTAATTTATTTAGCGAAAGCACGCCGCTTAAGTGTGTGACACACTTGTGTTGCGCCCGAAACGTCATGATTTAATTTATTTACACTTTTTTACCTACGTGACTTTACCGAAAAAACCAAAGAGTATGAATCCTTGCAGTCACGAAAACTTCTAATCTAGAATCAGGTCACCAGGTTCACCACAGTACAGCACGTGAACCACTGCGGGACGGCTCCATCTGTGCAATCTCATGTTTTTTTCTGCACTAAGTGTGTCACTTGCGAAGAGACGAAGTTGGTGCATTTCACTCATCTACAAGCAAGCCGAATAATCTTTTACGTTTGTCGCGCCAGGTCTTCTCGGACATCATCTACACAGTGGCGAGCTGCACGGAGAACGAGGCGAGTCGCTACGGGCGCTTCTTGTGCAGCATGCTGGACACGGTGACGCGCTGGCACCGCGACCGCGCCATCTACGACAAGGTGAAGCGCAGGGCGGCGGGCTTTGTGTTATTAAAAACATCCATCAAAAACGTAGGGGAAAAGGTCTGCGCCGCTTGAAATCGCACCCCAGTCGCTGTCAACCGGGTTCACCCCTACCTTTTCATGTACTTTTAACTCGCTTGTCTGGGTTTGGAATGGTTAGTAATGCTCCACGCTTTGCCCTACGGAGTGTGGTATGTCACGGCGGATTATTGGAAGTGTGCTCGGTATTGATGATGTGTGTAATGTGCTCGTGGAAGGTCGAGACATTTTTACACTCCTTGCTGCCTTGACCGAGTCCAGTGCACTAACCTGTATGCCATGGTAATTCACTTCATTAATAGTAAAACAATCCAGTTAGCTTGCAACAACACTCTTTATTAAAGGCATACAAAAGAGCCTATGAGAGATTTTCCCCGAGTGTGGATGAGGAGTGATGTATTGCCTTGGAAATTCTGTGACATGAGCTGATGTATTGCTCGCTGCAAGGGGTTCCAAATGGATATTTATTTTTATCTCGAGACGTGTTGCTCGTGGGACAATTTGAAATATAAAATTGGAGATGAAGCATGAATGCGGTCAAATGTAAAATTAGTTTCATTATTCTCCGTCAGGAATGCGGGAGCTTCCCCGGGTTCATCACGATCCTGCGGGCCGTGGGCTCGGACGGCGCCAACAAAGCGGACCATCTGGACTACGAGAACTTCCGCCACGTCGTCTACAAGTGGCACTACAAGCTCACAAAGGTGGGCGTGTGTTGCCCCTTCGCGTGGCCCCTGAGTGTACCATGGATCCTCGCCCACCTTGCCCACCTCACGATTGCATCGAACTCCTGTCGCCAGATCCACATCGCAGTGTGATAACAACGGCACCAGTGCTCCGCTAGCCGACCGATGATTGGAATTTTTGCGTGAGTTATTTTAGGAAGTAACATGAGGCCATATAACATTTGCATCGTGCAAAAGTGCGAATTACCAAGTTTGCTATTTGTATATGTATGTATGTTGAATTTCTTTCATGCCGTACGTAGCCAACCGTGCTAATCCGGCCAGATTGGTACATGGTTAGAATAAGCAATTAGCAATCAGAAGATTGCGAGTTTCAATCTTGGCCAGGAGTTGACTCGGCTGTTCTTCCTTCTGGTGTCGGTAAAATGGACACCACTGGGGGATTTAATTGTCAGTGGTTTTCCTTCACGTAATTTTATTTCATTCGAGATATTGAATATGCATTGTATTGCCTTTATAAAATGTCCATTAGACTTATTTTCCTGCCATCTCGTGCACGATATGCAGGATTGTGAAATTTCACTCCCTCTGTAATGGTCAGTTCTAATCAATGAATAGTTACATAATGATTCGTGCGTGTGAATGATGTTAAAAATACGAATCGGTTGTTGAATTTCTCCCACAGGCATCGGTGAACTGTCTGGAGACGGGCGAGTACACGCACATCCGCAACATCCTCATTGTGCTCACCAAGATCCTGCCCTTCTACCCCAAAGTGCTGAACCTGGGCCAGGCACTGGAGCGTCGCGTGCAGAAGATTTGCCAGGATGAGAAGGAGAAACGGCCCGACCTCTACGCTCTCGCCATGGGGTAACGGTGACCTTGGTCGGCCAAAAGACTGATGGCTCGTGGGGAAAAAATATTCCTTTGGCTTACAAATCAAAACGTATATATGCGTAGGCACAGTCGTCATCGTAGGCATCTACTAATTTGATAATGTATTGCAGTGACTAAAAATTTTAACAGTGGCCATTATACGTATTCTGAAAACATAAGGCATAAAACTTAACATTGTGATTCATGTAGAGGATATTGTACATCGACAATATTAAATGATCCTTATAATCGGAAACCTGACCAATTAGTTTATGACTAGCCAAGTTGTGAAAACCTTGCTTGTGAAAATCTTGGCACATAATTGTTTTTACCTGGCAGTGGTTTGGGATCACAAGGATGAATGGTAAATAATCACGGCTAGTCGATTCTTCAGTGCTCCTTTAAATATTTTGTCTTAAGCGTTAGAAAAAAAACATGTGCACAACTAACAGGACAACTCGGCCCTGTCAATGAATGACGGTGTCATTGTTCTTTATAGCTTTTCATTTGCCGTCCATAAGGCATTAGTGGTGATGTCCCGATTATTTGGTGGTCGGCCTTTTCGGTTAGCAGAGCCTCCACATCCTTCACCTCCTCTCGGGTTGCACTACTGCGCAACCGCACGCCGAACCCGAACCGCACCTTTCCCTCTCGCCCCCGCCCGCCACCACTCCCCCGGCTCTAAACTTGGCGTGACGTGATTGGCAGCTACTCGGGGCAGCTGAAAAGCAAGAAGGTGGCCATGGTGCCCGAGAACGACTTCCACCACAAGGAGCCGCCCAAGGCGGCGGGCACCCCCTCCTCCACGCCGACCACGCACAGCTCGTCCACCAGCCCCGCGCAGGCCAACGGGCAGTCGAACGAGGGCCACGGCACCGCGCACAACATGACCACGGGCGGCCGCGCGGACGACGGCAGCCAGGGAGATGGAGGTGAGCCCCGCCCCCCTGCAGACTCGCCCAACATTGGTGGATTTTAAGAAATGTTTGGGAGGTGACCGGGTGACTCGGGTCAGGATGGTTGAGTTGGCACCGCTGAGGTCCTGTCTCGGAATCCAGGTGGCGGTCTATGATTAAACCAGGATTCCCAAGTGTAGCGAGTTGATGGTCTCAGTCCTGTTACCAATGACTACACCAAAAAACCATCCCGGCAAACCATTTTCTCTTGCGAGTTTAGCTCTTGCGATTTCGTGCCAAATTTATTGAGGCACAGTTCATCGATCGCACCCCTGTGGTTCAACCATTTGCGGTTGACCGCGAGATTCCTGTATGCGTCGTAGCTGTTTTGCTCGCGATGATGCTACCGCAGAAGAACACGCGTGTACTATCTTGTCTCCATCGAGTTTTCCCAAGCGGCTCATCGTGGGTCCCAGGTCACGTGGTGTTTCCAGCCTCCAGTGAGGCAGTGAGGTTCAGCCGTGTGATTTTTCTTCTTGTAGTGAACAGTCGAGTATTTTACACTACAGTATTGTACACTACATTCATTATTTTTATTTGATACATTTACCATACAAGTTATAACACTTTAATTCAGAATACTTCCTGTCTGAATGTAGGGTAACATAAAAAAGAAGGTGTATTACAAACCGTGAACCAAACCCCACTTTTCCCATATGCCTTTGAGTTTGCGGATCACCGATTTGGTGATTTCGGCTATTTTCAAGAACATAACCCTTGCGATGGAAAGTATTTGCTGTGTATTAATTTCACTACACTTTAGAGTTCATAAAATAAAAGAAGCCCATATCGGCCATTTAGGCAGTTGGGGTGACACCCATGTTATGTGCGAGAGGAAGAAGGGGCAGCATCACCTCTGCCTTACAGCACTCCTTTTTGCATAGACATGGAGGTCGCCTCGCTGAATGTAGCTAATTGCGTGTAAACACACAAGAAGCGCGCAATAGATGTTTTAAATATTGACTGCATGTAAAGGTGCATTGCATGTTGTATAATAATTGTATGTTTGTACTCGCCACTTGCAGAGAAATCCAAGGACAAGCTGTCCAGTGGTGGGAAACCCACGGGGAAAAGTAGCAGCTCTATGGCTGGAAAGGCAGCAGGAAATGGGAGTAACTCCACCAGGTGAGTTTTCATTTGAAGGCGTTTGCTTAATGGGATCCCGGGAGTTTGCTTTGTCTCCTCTTGAGAGTGCGCTGCATGTGATTCTATCCTACATTTGAAATGCATAAACAGATGCTCACATTAATGCCGATACTAAAGCAAACAAAGCGACTGAGACTTGAGAAGAAATCGTTGGCCATTTTATTCACTGATGCTTGTGAACTGTTGCAGCTGCGTCATTTTATACATGCTCAACATTGACGGACCACCCGCTGTTTTTCAGTAGCAAAAGCAGTAAGGACAAAGAGGACCCGTCGATGACTAAAGACAAGGAGCGGTGGGACAGGGAAGCTGGGACTCCGGAGGGCAAGGCCGGAGGCGGAGGCAGCAGCAGCAGCAGCAAGGAGCGCACGTCTCGTGACGAGCGCTCGGGCCGTGACGAGCGTGGAAGCAGGGGGGGGGAGCCCAAGGAGCGCACGGCAAAGTCGTCCGACCGGGATAAGGATCGCGACAAGGCGAAAAAGGACGACAAGTCCTCCTTCGGCAAGGAGGAGAAGTCAAAACAGCTGCCGCCGCCGACTTCCACGCCGCCGACTGGCGGCTCGGAGGGTCGGCAGGAGCGAGATTTCGGCAAGGAGAAAGAGGGCAAGTCGAAGGATGGGCAAAAGAGCGAGAGATCCAACCTGACGTCCCCTTCGGCGTCGTCGAGCTCCGGGACCTTGAAGTCGCCCACGCCGCGCTTGGATATGTCAGATTCTGATAGAGGCAAGTTTTGTGTCCGCCTAAATCTTATTTTTGCAGCTACTGGTTTTCACGCTCTCTTTTGTTCCGTTACTAACGCTTTGGCAATGCTTTGTTTGTTGCTAAATGAACCAAAATTGGACTGGTGAATTTCTGTTATTCATCCAGGATCAATAAAGTGTTGTACTTAGGCCAGACTTGCTGAAGTTTACCAGTAAGCATAATATGAGGTAATGGGGTGCAGAGGGGATGAACTGCATCAATCAAGAGCACAGATGATGCAAAACATACAAATTGGACAATGAAACAGTTTCTATTTACGTACAGACATGTTTACATTCACATTAACGCTGACCCTAGACGGGTGACAATAAGCAGCTGATAATTAGCAAACGTCCGTATAAACATTTACTTGTTTTTTTAAAGCACGGTTAATCCGCCCACGAATAATCGAGAGTTAACTTGTGTGCGGTGTCGATGATCTGTGCTCTTGGTTCCAAACTGAAACGGCATGCACGTTATCCCAGGAATGGTACCTGACCGTGTGCTTTGTGCCTTTCTGTCATTGCAGAGCAAAAGCGGCGTAAGCTCGACAGCCACACCTCGCCATCCCATGCCTCCGCTGTAAAGGTTAGTATCGTATAACAACACGAGAATGGGAAGAAGGGGAGAGAGAGAGAGAGAGGGGTTCCTCGGAAGTAGCTGCTGCTGTCTGGAGTTCTGCAGGAAATACCTGGAAATATTGGTCATCCCAGCAATTCAATTTTTAAAGTATTCTTGCAACGCGTTCTACAAGGATGAAGCTTTTTCGGGCGACCAGGTCTCCTTTCAACCATCGCGCACCTTCTTCAGTGTTTTGTGGACTAAAGCAGAAATGGAATACAAAGCCGCTTAAAAAAAAAAGATCAGGCTTTTTTCTTAAGTTAAAATTAAAATAGATCTTGTAAAAAGTTTTAATGGACCTAGATTTTTTTAGTTTATATATTGTGGAAAAAAAAAAGAAAAAAAATATTTTCGGAGTTTGGTTGGAGCCAGAGCTGAAAAGTGCCTTGTACATACACGGGTCCCAGTCGTTTTACAAAAAGTGCAATCGTCAAGAGAAAAAAAAAGAGATGGCCAAGAGAAGTGTGCCAGTTTGCTGTAGGAGAATGAAGCTGAAGATGGAGGAAGAGGAAGGAGTGAAGATGATGATGCCTTCGGTGCCTTTCAGTGGAAGACCAGGGGAAGATGATGCACAGGATGTCGCCTCTAAAATATCTTTTTCATTTTCCATATCCACCTATTTATTTCTCCTCCCAAAATACCATGAGAGCATTCTGATCCTGAGCATTTTTAAGTTCCTTCAAGAAGTCCTGCCAGCAGTCGCCAAGCATTCCAGTGTGTAAAAAAAGCCCCCTGTAGAAAATCCTCCACAGCTGTAGGCAGCCACCTCCTCCATCGCCGAATGGTTGGTGTCTCCGGCGCTCGGGCTCGTGTGGGGACTCTTGCTGGCGTTGGTTCCTCCGTAGCGTCTCCACCCTTGAGGATGTCGCCGCACGCGCCGGCCGTGTCCAGCAAAGCCCACTCCCCAAGCCGGCCCGCACTTCCCTCCCCTCCCCGCTGGAGAAAGGCGATGGATGGCCCCTTGCGCTGAGCGAGCGATGGTGCCGCGTGGAGCCCAGGGTAAAAAAAAATGAAATAAAAACCCTGGCACTCGTGGCGCGATTTGCCATCGGTACGGCCGGTTGAGGGAGACCACGAGCTGCGTGAGTTTGGAAGATTTCCTGATCAGGTTGGCGCTGTCTGTGGAGCTAAAAAAATGCTGTGCTGTGATTGCCAACGATAATCATTTAAAGGGGGTGCTTTGCTTCTCAGCATTCTAAGTATCGCACTATGATTCCGCCACATGCACGGGCGTTAGTTGAGGGATGGGGTGCAGTGCAGTAGGTAAACTACTCGCTCGGTGTGCACTTTACTCGCTTTGTAAATCGGAACCACTTTGTGCTGTGCGTCACGCGATTTTTTCTGAACGTAGATTATTTTAAGAGCGACGTAAAATGGATGGTAATTGGAAAGATGTTTTTAAGATTTTATATCCAGTAAATTGTGATCAATACCTCAATGTACATTGTGTATATTACATTTTTTTCTACGTGTAATGTAATTGAATGTATTTTCTTACAACAATGGACTTTTGTTAAGCTTTAGTCTGTGAAAATGTAACTTCAATGTTTGAGGCCCAAACATTTATGGTTTAGACTACACTTAAGCATTCGTGACTTTCTTAATCTTTGTGTGACATAAGCTTCCTGAACTAAATGTTGCAATGTGACGCCGGTATAATTCCATTGAATTGCAATTGTACTTTTTTTTACATTGTGACACTGGAATAGTGCTCATATTGTCAAGATAATGATCTAAAGGCAGCTACATGCCTCTCAGGCATACATGTAAATATTGTTTTGAAGTAGTCAAGTTACACCGTGCACTGACATTGTATATTTCTACATTTTTGTCATCTGTAACTTGAAACCATGAGCAGGTTGTGAACGTTGCTTTGCTGCTCACCAAAACTCAGATGTGGATCTGAAACTCGCCGTGCTGCTTTAGGGTTAATGATGGCGATTCGAAGGAGGCCATGGTTTGGGTTGGAGCTTTAGTTCATGAGTCGAAAGAGCTGGACTTCTCTCAAATTCAGTTGCTTTGGAGGAGGCTGCATCTCATCGTTCTTCTGCAGAAAAGTTCCTCCCAAGCCCTAACCTGTTCTGCCAAGCCGTCCTTCTTTCCAAGGAGGTGGGAGGAGATGGCCGTCATCATGCCGGATTGGAGGAGTGCCCACCGCTGGTTCCCAGAATGCCGTGCTGCTGCCGCCCTGCTCCTCAGCTCGGGTCTCTTTATCTTTCGTCTCCCCTTCTCACTCCCCCAACAGGATGGACAGGGAGAGTTCAGAGACCCATCAGCCAAGGTTTGCATGCTACCCATTGGTCTTTACCGTTGCCATTTTTCTGAAAGTACATTTTTATACTATCTTAATTTAGGGTTTTGTGTTGGTAGCTGTATGTAAAGTGGTCAGCAGCAATTTCCAATTGTCCTTTTCGTTATAGCACCAACGTTATTTTCCATTTGGGTAATGTTGACTCATTTTAGATGAAACTTTGGGCTGAGTTGCAATTGCCTCAGGTGTTTGCAGGTGAATGGCTTGCCGGAGGCGGCTACTGAGAGCTTAACGTGTGCTGTGCTTGGTGGCTTCGTCCCCGGGCAGCTCCAAAACCTACACCAGCTCGGCAGCGGGGGTGGGGCCCGCGGGCGCTCCCACAGCAGAGAGCGGGACGTGGAGAGGAGGGAGCAGTTTCACGAGCGCTCGCGCGATCGCGACAAGAAGGAACGCAAGCGGGTACGGCATCCCCCCCACCGCCCCCTCCCGTGACTCCACCTGCGCAGGTGGTCCCGCTTCGTGCAAAAGCGGTGCGATGGTAACGGTCTTCCGCCGGCCCCGGTTCGCGATGTCATACAAACTGTTTAATGTTAAATGGAGCAATGTGTTCCTTGACAAGATGGCACGTTTTCTATTTGCTGGCTCAAAGTGTTGCCAATCTTCAGGCATGCAAACATCCTCCCGTGAGGAAATTGATGCGCTGTCACGATTAGCGAGTTGAGATTTGATAAAAAATATATATTCGAGTCTCCTTTGGTATTTCTCATCTGCAATTGTATTAACTACACATTCATATAACTTGCACTGCTTTTGAGAATTAAATGATTGAGGAAATGATGGAAGTTTAAAGAATAATTCTGAGAAAATGTATTTTCACATGTTGTGATGCAATCAATATTTGGAGTATAAAAATAGATGCAGTCTTTAAATGACTACCAAACTTTCTCCATTAGACTGATGATGGGCTGGTTAGCCAATAATTGTTGGTTCATGAAGGGGGCTGGTTTTTGTGCCCTTATTGCACAGGACCATTCAGGGGCTGAGCGAGATCCGTCCAACGAAAACAAGCGCCGGAAAGATGAAAACGGCCTGAGTAAGTAGCTCATCTCAGCTGTTTATACACACACACGTACATCTTGTGAGTGTTTTATCGTTCAAGACTGATTGGAAGAACTAAATGTGTGCGTTTACAGCACTTTTGTAGTGTACATAGTGCCCTCTCCCCACACCGTACAGGTCCTTTGACCGTATATGATGTTGGTTGGTGCGGGTTGATAAAGGCGGTGGGCATATAAAGTACGGTATAACAATAGATGTTACTGCTCTGCCATCTGCTGTCGACCATGTAGCCCAGAAGCAGCCTATAACAACCAGACGTACATGATGGTTATCAATGTGCACACTATTCAGGCCCTACCCCTTCTAGTTTTTCAGTCCGATGAGACCGGGTGCATTCCTTGTGATTTTGTCGTAGGCAGCTGAACTCTTTATTTTTTTTTATGAAATAGACTAATATGTTCATTTGGAAGAACCGTTGCCTTATTAAGTTATAATCAAAAATGGGTCCTATTGACTTGGTTATCCTGTTTTACATTGACATTACATTTTTAACACGAATATTTTGCCTTGAAAATCCCTTTGCATTAGGCATTTGTGAAGGGCGCGTGTCTTTTATATTGGTCGCATTGTGCAGACCATTAAATGCACCTGTGTGTGTGTGTGGGCGACGGTCGCGTAGTAGTTAGCGTGGTGCACTACGAACCCGGCGACCCGCGTTCGATTGCCGCTCACGGCCATCGTCACCAGTGACAATTATCTGAACTGGTCCTGGGCCTCCCTTGAGTCGAATACCTGGTGCAGTTGTGTAATCATCGCTACTATGGAAACAAAGGCGGCCAGTGCGTGGTATTGGCCACCCACCACCTCGTGATTCGTGCCGGCCTTTCATAGGTGCTCGCTTAACTGCACTTGCCCCAAAAGTCTGTTAGGGCTCTAAGGGGGGGCTCTTTGTCTTGTGATTTTAAGACATGGGGACAAAGCACAGCAAGAGCAACAGCCCGACTGACTCTCCCAAGGAGAGGGACAAGGATAAAAGCAAGAGCTCCAAGGTGTCTGGCAACAAGGAGAAGATTGCAGGGGACTTCTCAAAACACGAGAAAGGAAGTTCCTCGAGTGGCAAGAAGGTACGGTCATAACCCACTGGTCGTCTCTAACCTCCACGCATAGCCGACTTCAAGCCTCCTTCCCGTGTTTACAAGTGAGGCATAATTTCCGTACAAATTATTCGGCGATGCTGTGTCGGGCAGTGGTGCAAGAGTGCCAATTCCAAAAAAGAAAAATCGACATATTTGTCAAAAAGCACTATGGCATTAAAAAGAAAAATAATACAATTGGCAGCATTTCAGGCGATAGCGCTTATTTCATAGCACATTTATGTACAGTTCACATTGCTATTCCACGAGTAGGCATGTGCCAGAGGGATTCATGCTGTGGAGTTTGTGAAGCACATGGAATGCAGTGAGATGCCTTTGGGTTTTTTTTCACTTCTTGAGCTATGATTGTGCAAATAGCGAGTGTGGGACGGTGGCAGTGTCGCGGTAAGCATGCTGCCCTCCCAACCCGGGGACCCGGGTTCGATTCCCGCTCGCGGCCAGCACCAGTAACGATTATCTGAACCGGTCCTGGGCATCCCCTAGGTTGACTCGGCCTCAAATTAGTACCTTTTGCAGTGTATAAACATCGCCACTGGCATGGTGCTGGCCACCCACCCCCTCGTTTGCCGTGCCGGGCTTCATCGGTGCACGCTGACGGCACTTGCCCCGACAGATTGTTAAGGCTATAGCGGGGATGTTTGTGCGTGTGATTATCTTTCGCTCAGGATATCCATCATGAGAAAGAGAAGGAAAAGAAGGAGAAAAAGGACGGAGCCCGTGGAAAGGAGGAAAAAAAGCAATATCCTTTGTCGAGCACAGGTGTGCAGCGGCGCAGTGTTAAGAGCAGCATGGTGTAAGAGCTGTTTTTGTTCACACCCCATTGCCAAAATCTCCCAACCGCTAAATGCAACAAGATGGTTTTCTGTTAATTTACAAACTCGGTTTGGCAGAAATGACAGTTTGGTCATGAGCACTTATGAGTGTGAAAGTAATCTGTTTATTGGTATATTCCGGGGTCATTTCATGAGGCTTGGAGATGGTTGATGAAATACATTTAAATGCAATGTTTGTGTATTGGTAGCATCGTTGAATTACTGTTATGCCTTAACTGTGTCACTCATAAATCATCTTCAGACAAACACAGATGATCCCTTTCCTGGGACAGATGCACCATGGTGGGAAAGCAGGGTCGGCGTGATGCTACACACAAAAAAATTAAATATTTTTAAATATCTTTACAAAATGCGTGGATTATGAGTGTTGCTTTGTCATCTGCAGTGCAGAAAGCCACATCATTCTCCCACACACTGCCTTCGAACCCAACGGTTCTCATAAGGCGACGTTACGTCATCCACTCTGCGTCAAAATAATGCGGCCCTGCTATTTATATACTGCGCACCCCAAGTGCTGTGAGCTGCAGATTGATAGCCCAGTTAAATTTTTTTGTAACTTCCCCACAGGATGGACTAAGCTTAGGAATAAAATTATTACAAGCCACTCCGCTCTGGCAAGCGTAACACATCTGACCAAGGAACCCGTTTTTGCAATCTGAGCAGCAAAGATTGCACAGTTGTCACATTTGTGAGCACACACTTGACTTTTGAAATCCAAGTGAATGCATTTTTATATTTGCCGTGGATCGCCACCGTACTCCTTTTGTCACAAGGAGCTCTTAACCAAGTGGAATGCGTGCTTGAGGGAGCGGTGTGTGTATTGTAACCGGTAGAAAATGAATAGTCATGAAATGGTAAAAAAGTGATGCGTGCTCCCCCTTTTCTGCTGGCGAGTGTGGAGCCATTGTAAATTATGTTGTAGCTCTGCACCAGGCGGTGGATGCAGAGGAATCTGTTTTACACAGCCCTGAGCAATTTTATCCTTTTGTATCGGATTCAAATAAATATCGCAAACCAGGGGCGTTAGTTTGAATGTGAATAAACTTGGTTAAATTTTGTACGCGTGGCTGAGGTTATTTCTCAAACGCGCGGCAGGTTTTTCAGACTTGTATTATTTGCTTAGTTCAAAATGTTTTCCTAGTTTTTAACCGTTTCGTTCTGTTTATTGAAAGTTAAATTGTAAAAGAGGGTGAAATAAAATCATTGTTTGGTTTTATTTTTTTGTGTTCATGTCCAGCCACAGTCCTCATGTCTTTCGAAATGCATAATGTAAATGATTTATATTGGCCGACTCGTGGTTGTGTTTATTATCGTTTGTTTCTGTAATAGGGCTGTTGGACAAATGGCTGAAAAACTACAGTTAAATGTATTATATTGCATTTTTGATTGTTACTGAAAAAATAAATGGCTCATTTTAATATTGTTTGCGTTACTGCTTACTGTGAATATCTGCTCGTTTTGTCAATGTGTTCACTCAACGTCTCAGTAGTGCTTGATATATTTGCATAGTTTCACTCCGATGAAGCAATCACCGCGTGTGCTGGTGAGATCCGTTGGTTGGGCCCGTTCATGTGTCACGTGTTGTTTGTGTCCGCTTTCGTGTGATTTGTCGTTAAAAGGGTGACCCTCGGCAGGGCCGAAAGTGTGTGAAGTACGTGTTGCATGTGAGTGCGGAGACGTCCGTGTGTGTGATTCCCAGGTCGACTCGGCCTCAAATGAGTAGCTCGTGTCTTCATCGGTGTTCGCTTAATCGCACTTGCCCCAGCAGTCTCTTAAGGCTTTACGGGGGGTTTTTGATTCCTCGGCAGATAACAGGAGTAGAACATTTTGTTGATTTTTTTTTATTAAGGAAATGCATTTGACTTATTAACATTGCAGAATTACTTAGGAAAGTAGCTTCTCACTGGATACATTGTTTAGCTCCGTGAAACGATAATTGTCCAGCACTAAACGAGCCAATGTTTTCGATGCGTTTGAGGGTCATAGGTTATATGACTCGTTTATCAACGATGCTTTTCATTGAGTGGAGCTTATCGGAAATTAATAACTGAAAAGGGCACTTCAAAATGATTAACCCAAGCTCAGTAGCTCACCTGGTGTATTAAAAGTAATTGGGATGAGCAAGTTGATTGACTGTCCTTGTATAGAAAACTAACCCGTTCAATTGCCATCACGTGCGCTCCATGACACTCCTGGACACGTCCACAAGCTGGATTGGAACCGCGCTAGCGGCGGGGAATAATGACATTGGAAATGATCATTTAGCCTTGCACGGGAGGTGACAATGCAGTCTTGGTGCAGGTGGCTGCGCGGTTGCTCAGGAAGGAAGCGGCAGCATTGAGGGCCCTTGCGGCGCTGCGAGCCACGAACTCCAGCACCTCGATGATGGTTATCACGCTGGCGCCTACAAACAGCCCAAGTTGTCCTCCGATGTCGCCTGCATGCGCGCACATACGGTGATGCTTAGCGCAGCTACCCTGTCCACGCTCTCGTCCACAAGCGACGATTGAACAGGTAAGGGAGCCTCGTTTACATCGCGATGCGGGGGGGGGTAATGAGGAATGCAGGAGAGTGGGTGGGCTGGGTGAGGCCGTAGATGTTAAGTGGGAATAAAGCAGCGTCTTGTGTGGATATGATTTGGCTCCGGGGATGGGGCATTGATTGGTTTTGTTTAACACAACCGCCCAGGCTGGAGTGTACATAATTTAGCGAAGGATATTTTGTAACGTACGTAATCTAAAGTACATCATTATACGGTGCCATGTTACTTGTTATTCAACCGCTTTCACAAATGTATCAAGATGGTCTCAGCCCAGTTATCTACAAATGACTGCACGAATAAAATATCCATTCATTATTACATTTGGTTTCTCACTTGATTTGGCTAAATTCCACCTTTGTGACTTAACATGTATAATTTTCACCGCCGTGTGTCACTATTATTCTTTGCGGGACACAAAAGATCCCTCCTGGTGCGTAAGTGGGAAGTCATCTTCCAGGCCCCTTGAACATCGTGTGATGCACTTGCTACCTGCAGGGTTCCAAATGGAGATTCCTTTGCCCCGTGAGACGGAGCCGTGGCACACACACGAGTTAATACTGGTAGGAACCCACTGGTTCCAACAGCCCACAGGGGATTATTGTGTCCGTCCGTCGTGCAGGGAGGGGCTGGGTGGGGAGGGAGGGGCTGGATGGGGAGGGTGGGGCTGGGTGGGGAGGGTGGAGAGGGGCTGGGTGGGGATGGGCTCGGTGGGGAGGGTGGGGGGTGGGAGGGTTTGGGGTTGGGTGGGGAGGAGCTGGTCACCCCGTGGTGCCCTTATAAAACTTAACGTTTAACCTACTCACGCCGGCTTGTGCCCGCCCTCACAGTCGGGCATATTTGCGGAATACACCACGCCGCCGTTGACCCTGCAGGCCATTGACCGAGCAACCCAACGTTCCTACCAGCTCCCTCCGCAGGAATGTGTTACTTGGAGAGGGGGGGGGTGATAAGAAATCATTGTTGAGTGATGTTTGCGTCTGTTATGTCTGCTTGACGCCCTGCCACGGTCGTGTGGACCACCCACTGAGTAAGACGCTCTCTGGCAGGGTCTTCTGCTGCTGGATGAGCGCGTAGCTCAGATCCGTGTACGCAACGTCGATGGACACCAGGTTTTCTCTGTTGATAAGACGGTCACATCGGGCAACACATCAAATACGGAACCGCATCTACCAAACTTGTATTCACGTGCTGCGCGTGCCTGATGATTGGTAAACACACCCCAACACCAGGACACAAGGCCGCCGTCCGAATTTGAATCGGCACGCCACGTCGTGTGGGCACCTGTTTACCAAACATCGGGCGCGTGCAGCGCGTTCAATCGTATTTGAACCGAAGAAATCGTTCAACTTGTACTGCACTTCTATGCTTCCACGTCCACGCACCGTCGCGTTCACCCACGTGCACTGACCACGGCGGGGAAGTATGTTCAGTTAACGGGCGCGCATTGCATTTATTGTTCAACGTGGAAAGAAAGGTGCGCCGTGGTGGGGGTTCGATGCGATGTAACGAGACACGCGTAACACGTGCACCATCCCAGCGGGCTCCAATGTACAACTCGTACAGCCGCGTTGGGCAATCCACTGCTAGTTGAGGGCATCACCACGCCGTGCGGGTCGTGGTGGTCATTGGGGGGGGGGGGTTATTTAACCATACTTCACCACGCTGGTCACTGCCGTTTGACGAAGGCATCGTACAGACTACACAATACAACAAATCGATTTTACAGCACTGCCCTCTCCTGACGACGTAGCCCCACAAGTGCCCGTCGGAGTGCGCTATCCACCAGGCTCGAACCGGCTGAGCTTGCGAGCTCCGGCGAGAGTGGGCGCATTCTGGGTGCTTTGGTCGAAGGAAATGAATCGATGTGATTGAGTGACTCAAAATGTACCACCGATTAGGCATAGGTGTAGGGTTAGTGCTTTATAACGGGAACATGAATGTGTGTGTTCAAGTTGGCTTCTAATGCGTCTCCTCCCGACGTTTCGATACCTTGTTCTTTTTTAAGCATCGATTATTTAATGGCTCGAACATTGTCTGGCTTTACGCGTTCTGACCTCGTTCGTTTCTGCCACTAACGCCTCCGCTCTGTGTTCCCGTCTTACCCCGACTCACCTTGAACGTCCGTCTCATTTGTACTGTCGAGGTCTCTAGGGCATCGGCTGTTGATTGCGGATGTGACTGATGAGAGGGGATAGGCTGAGGAGAGGGAGACAACCGAGCGTGGTTGTGTGGAGAAGAAAGGGAGTTTGTGGCTGCCTCTGTGTAGAAACGGAGGGGGAGATCCTGCGGTTGTGATGATGGCTATGGTTGGTTTGGGCTGTACGCCATTCAGGCTCTGTTGAGGCTGTGGTTCTGTTGACGGGGAGGGAGGAAGGGAGAGAGGCTGTGGTCGGGGAGGGGGGGACGTGGACTGTGGTTGTGTTCAAGTTCAAGTTCATGTATTAGGTATAGCCCTGTGAGCCATTCGGCTCTTGAATCGGGTGCATCGCAACAAGACAAAAAACATGAACAAAAAACATCTTAAAGTGAATATGTGACTAAGTGCAAACAGAAAATCCAAGAAATGACAGCAAAATATTGCAGAAAAAAATCACCGTACACCAACGCTGCACCTCGTGTAGGCGAGGCTGTGGCTGTGTAGGGCTGCACCTCGTGTAGGCGAGGCTGTGGCTGTGTGGGGCTGCACCTCGTGTAGGCGAGGCTGTGGCTGTGTGGGGCTGCACCTCGTGTAGGCGAGGCTGTGGCTGTGTGGGGCTGCACCTCGTGTAGGCGAGGCTGTGGCTGTGTGGGGCTGCACCTCGTGTAGGCGAGGCTGTGGTTGTGTGGGGCTGCACCTCGTGTAGGCGAGGCTGTGGTTGAGTGGAGCTGCACCTCGTGTAGGCTAAGGTTGAGTGGAGCTGCACCTCGTGTAGGCGAGACTGTGGCTGCGTGAAGCTGCACCTCGTGTAGGCTAAGGTTGAGTGGAGCTGCACCTCGTGTAGGCGAGGCTGTGGTTGTGTGGGGCTGCACCTCTTGTAGGCTAAGGTTGAGTGGAGCTGCACCTCGTGTAGGCGAGGCTGTGGCTGTGTGGGGCTGCACCTCATGTAGGCTAAGGTTGTGTGGAGCTGCACCTCATGTAGGCTAAGGTTGTGTGGGGCTGCACCTCGTGTAGGCGAGGCTGTGGCTGTGTGGGGCTGCACCTCTTGTAGGCTAAGGTTGTGTGGTGCTGCACCTCGTGTAGGCGAGGCTGTGGCTGTGTGGGGCTGCACCTCATGTAGGCTAAGGTTGAGTGGAGCTGCACCTCGTGTAGGCGAGGCTGTGGCTGTGTGGGGCTGCACCTCATGTAGGCGAGGCTGTGGTTGATTGATCTCTCGTAGCGATGCGATGCCTGCAGGCTCGGGAAGGTGGCGTAGGACACGGAGGACGGGAAGCCCTTTTGCAGACACGGCACGGGGCACTGCGACAAGTGGGACCCCCCCGTGCACATCCCCTGCGCCTGCGAGAGAACTACAGCCCGGAGGTGCTCAGCCACCGACCAAGCAGCATCGGTATCATCAGCATCATCATCAGCATCATCGACAGCAGCATCATCATCAGCATCATCAACAGCACCATCATCATCGCAATTATCATCAGCACCATCGACATCAACAACGCCATCATCAACATCATCATCAGCATCATCGACAGCACCATCGACAGCACCATCAGCATCATCATCAGCATCATCGATAGCACCATCATCATCAGCTTATCATCAGCACCATCGACAGCACCATCATCATCAGCTGCATCAGCTGCATCAGCAGCACACTCGGCAGCAACAGCAAAAGCAGCATCGGCAAAATCTTCATGATGAATAATTGATTGTTTGGTTAGGTCACGTAATTATTCGTCAAAATTTATGTCGTAAGACCCTCCACCACCTGACAAAGCCATACATTGTTACACGTAAAAGCATTTAACGTGGCGTTTATTATCATTGTTGTTGTTTCAACTCACCGGGAGTTTAAGGAGAGTTCTCACAACCGAATTTAGCAATAAGATACGCGACATTTCGCTTGAAACTACGCCGATAATCTTCAGGACAAGTTCACGGCAGTCGGAATACAATCGGGGAAAGTGAGAATCATTACCGAAATAGTAGTTGGTCATCACTGTCATCACCAGGCATGCATCCATCACAAAGCACCGTCAGCAGCAGCACCAATATCAGTCAACTGCACCACCGCTACCACAACAAGACAACCACTCCAATCGCCCACTTTGGTGGTGGTTGTCGTGGTCAGAAAACAATGCATTACAATCAACCACACGCATGCGTCAGAGGACATCACGTACCCAACGCGTCTCGGGCGCAGTAGTAGTGCTGGTACAACGAACACTCCTCTATGTCACCTGCAACAACAACAACAACAGCAGCAGCAACAACAACAACAGCAGTGTCTCCAGTCGGGCATAAGGACACACCTGCCGATATAATATCCATTCAGTTTATTGATGCATGTTCGTCCAGGTGAGAGCTCTGTGATATTTAATGCGGGCGGAGATCTCCTCCATCCAGGAAGGCATCGCTGAACCGCGAGGATCCTTATCACGAGAATTTTGCAATGGGACGCTTGTCCCACGTTTGTCCCATTCCCATTCCTTTATCTTGACCATTTAGATTCGCGTGGGAGGGAAGTCGGAGAACCCGGATAAAATCCCACGACGCACGCAACGGGACAGCGCTCGGTGCTTCCGGCACACAGACGAGTTCACGAACCAACTTTGTTGCACGGTCATCAAATTGTCAGCTCGCGGCCCAGTGGCTTTTGGAGAGTTCCGCAAAACTTGCGTGAACTGCCAACTTATGTCTCCAAAACTGTGGGCCACGTGTGTGCTTCATCGCATATCCTACGGCGCGAGACTTTATCACGGAGACCTTAAAATCTTGTGACTATGCAACGCGACTGAGTAATTTGACATCATCTGAGGTGTAGCTTGTTTGCCACCATTCCAGCCAGGGCACACTGACAAGTCTCACCGTTTGGTGCCTCAAAATTTGGTTGCGAGGTCATGAACCTACTTGCTGCACTGCCATATAATGGCCACGTAATCTCTGCTCCAGAAACATAGGCCTTCTATCATAATGCCCTCTCTTCGAGGGGGAGGTCACTCTCTCTCCTCTGAAGTTAGCGCCCTGCAGTTTTTGAAACTATGAATATTGTACCGAATCTACGCTCCATTTAATCGCAAACAAATAAATTGTAATACTCTTTGGTTTTTCGGTAAAGTCACGTAGGAAAAAAATATATAATACAATAAAAAATATAATGAAAAAAACAACTACGTGACTTTACCTAAAAACCAAAGAGTATGAATCCTTGCAGTCACGAAAACTTAAAATCTAGAATTAAATACATTTTAAGTTCGACTTCAAAAGGACTCAACTGTGGACCCGCATTCCCAATGTGACTCGGAACGGAGTTGCGTAGGCACGGCGCGTAGCAACAACAGGTCGGCTTGTGGGCACGTCGCGCTGTGAAAAAAAAAAAACGCACACAATTGTGCGATGTTGTTGATGTGCTGCGTGATGTGCACGCACCTGGGAAGTTGAAGGGCTTGCAGCCGCAAATTCTCTCCACCAAGTCAGCCTCGCACTCCTGGAGGCAACGCGCCATGCTGTAAGGCGCCGGGGACTGCAACTTCTTGCTGGGGTCGCAGTCCCCCCACGGGTACTGTTGGTTGATGCTCTGCACGAGACGCAGCAAACAAAAAATGCCATCAATGGCAACAATATCGTGGTCGAGACTAATTATGGATGGAGCGGCAGCCGTGGGAGAGAACTCTGGCAGGAGGCTTTGGGTTGCCGGGGGAGCGGAGAGCGCGTGAAGGAGTCGAGCCAGACAAGAGGGGAAAAACTGTGGAGGGCCGCGGTGGGAGCAGGCCCATGGTGGACTTTTAACATCCGGAAATAGAAATTTCACATTCTTTTTATGGCAGCAGTGAGTCTATTGATAGGACAAACGCGGTGTACTTCCCATAAAGTGGTGATATTTGCTTTGTCAAGCCTGAAAGCGTCAAGCGATGAGTCTACCTCCAACCGGGACTTGAGCTCACGGTGGTTTTGCTGCGTGCCCAGCGCCCCCCACACCACCAATGTGCCACTGCGCAAAATACTGGAGCAGCTGAGACTCTCCCAGTCTATTTAGCCATGTGGTCTTTTACAAATTGCTGCTCGGTTGCCTCATTATTCAGTGCACTACACTGGACAAGCCCCATTCTGGTTACGGGAAGCTCTTGCCTTCCGTGAAGAGCACGCAGCAAAGGAGAAAGCGTGACATCTCACAGCCTGGAAGGTGATCTTGGGCTTGTTCCACAGCTGAGCAGCTACTGAAGCGAGGCGTGCAAACCAACATCGTAGCTATCCAACACGTAGGTTTCCATGACCAATGTTATTCATAATAAGGGGTTTTGGGTTAGACCGCGTAAGTATAATATGTCGTAACCCTCCACCACCCGACACGGCCAGTAAGGTTCAAGACTGTAAACAGGTGGATTGCTTCACGATTGTGGCTCAATAATGCTGGATGTAATTACCAGCAAAACGTCGAACTCAAATTGTAAAAATAGTAACTAATTAGCACGCTTTGTCTATGTGACAAACCTTACTGGCTGTGTCGGGTGGTGGAGGGTTATGACGCATTCATACTTACGCGATCTAACCCCAAAAACCTTAATTATGAATCCTAGCTATCGATGTGTGCAGACTGTTCAACTACACTGGAGCCCACAGATCAGTCACTCAGGGGACAGAAAAGTGTACAAGGGCTCCCATTGCCAAGCACGCTATGCCACTGGTACGAATCTACCTACTCGCACCTCTGCCCCATGCCCCATGCGTGTGTACATACCTTGGTGTGCTGGACTGACACGTACGCCTGGGTCCCCACGCCAATGGACAGACCGAGTGCCTCCACTTGCGGCGGCTCGTCTGGGTCGTGCACAACCAGACGGATCCCGACTCCCGTGAAGCCCAACTCGGGGTTCTCCCAGTAGTCCCACTGCACGCCTCGCAATTAGCACAGCACACTCCCGTGACGAGGGCACAATCACGACACGTGAGAGCGAAGATGGTTTCCATAATAACGTGAGCTATAAACTATTACTGCGATAAGCGATTATTTTATTTTACCAGGTAAGGCCCACTGAGATATATCGCTCTGTTCGGAAGCGACCTGGCCACAAATGATAGCCCAATGAAGTGGATTATCACGTGGAAATGTATAGCAGCCAAATACTCCAAACACTTTTTTCGAAATGTCGAGGGTAAAACCAGAGGACACGGAGAAAAATCTACGCAACCACGGGGAGAACATGAAAACTTCAAATACACAGGCATCAGGGTCGGGATCAAACCCCACGACATCCTGTATACCAGGCGAGGTAGTTAACATCTCTTATGTCGAGGCAATAAAACAAATGCATGGTGAATGGGACATGACCCTACTAATACTGCAATGTTTTTCCCACACGTTTCCACTAGATGGCAGATGTTTGCTCTGATCAAGGATGGCCAGCGCCCTTGCACAAATGGATATTAGAACAGCAGTGAGCTATTCGATATTGTTTGTTATCTGAGGTTGTGAAGAAAATTCAGAATGAACGTTAAATTAGAGCTGCAATATGGTGACACCTGCACAGTGGAAATGTTTATATGTCGGTGTAAGGACTGCAATCAGAGTGAAGCGCATATTTGTGATGACAGTCGTCATAAGCCAGTTGATTCTTTCACTCCAATATTGATAATTTAGCATTTTATAATTGCCGTAATTTATAATTGCTTAAATCGTTCTTGTTTTTACCCTGATTTTTTTTTAAAGAAGCATGCCATTTCAATGAGATGTTACCTTTTTGAAAAAAAATAGATGTTTATCTATTTATTTATATAGTTTTCATTATGCATACCTTCACCGAGTACCAGTAATGACTCATTTACACAGAAATATATAATAAACAAGTTAGGGTATCTTTCACTACATTCAGTTAAAGTAACATTGTAGTTTATCACCAAATGGGATTTCTGAATGTCATCAGTGGTGTGTTGCCTCTTAAACAAATGCTGCTGCGTTGCCTGATTTTATGAGTCGTGACAGATGATGGCAGCTTGGGGAGCCCTGAATACAGCAATGGATAGATCATGGATGATGATGATGATGAATTTGCTGCTGGGTTGCCTATAACATCAGACCACCCAGCATCATTCGATGAACAACCATTACTCATGAAAACCCACTGAAAATGATGATGATAATGATGAAACTTCTGATGGTCACCTGCTGCACATCAAAAAGGACCTGGAGGCCTTTCCCAGCTCCGGCTGTCTTCTGCTTGAGCGATCTTTGTTCTTCACTGAAGCCGCCGTTGAATGTGTAGCAATTGCCGTATTCTGTGAACACGTGCTGGAAATCCTGTGGGGTGGTGCCGTCAGTTGGGGTTGGGCAGTGACATGAACGCGTTTATTTACGATTTTAAGCAAGTGCAAAGGCCGCTTTTCGCTAAATGTGTAAAAAAATTGTCCGTCCGTCCGAAGATACTGCACGAGTTTTCACGATAACTGCAAAACCATGAAACCAATGTTTTGTTTCTAATGGCATAGTTCAACTTCCTAATAAAATACAAGATCGCTTAATTTACTTGCTAACGTGCATTAGGTTAAACTCATGGTGATGATGATGACGATGATTATGAAGGCTGGTTTTCACGTATCATAATTTCCAGAATAGTGGCATACTCAAATCTTGATTTCTCACTGGATATGTTTGAGTCATCGGTGGACTGGAGTAGGCACGTGAGTCATTTGCCACAGTCCATAGCGAGAGATATACTGGATGTGGTGTGCTGCAGCGTGTTGGAACATTTGGCGGGTGACTGCGCCGGATAGACCCAGCTGAAATTAAGCCCTGTTGGTTTCCGTAAAAAAATGTCTGCTGAACATCAGGGCTTCCTTGAAAATTAATCTTCTTATCATAATGGGCTCTTACCTGGTTATAAATTGAATCATCTAAACCTAATTCCTTATTTCCTCTGGTGAGCGTTAATTAATTTTAACAAGGATCCTAATATGCACGTTGGTAACTTTGAATTTATTCTGGTGCTCTTCACTGCATTTGAGCTCACTTATTTCTACTGTATAGAATTTAATAGACCGCTGGCTCAGGGTCAAGAAGACACTTTGTTTCTTAGATTTTTTTTCAAATTCTATCCCAATTGTGCGATCAGTATAATGTCACGAGACGCAAGTGTCCAATCAGATGTTAGAGAACGGCCCACAGAAAATGATGTCACAGAGCTACTCAGAATAAAAATATTTATGCTGGAGGAATCCGATCAGCGATAAAGCTCTTTTTTTCACAGGTGTCCAGTACTTCCGAGATCGCTTCAAGTGACCGCTGTTCCGCACCGTAGCAGACATCACTTTTCTCAGCCCCTGCTACAAAGAGTAATGTTCGGAGCGTGACAATAAAACCAATCATTTCTGACAGCTGTAATCTATACAAATAAAGTGCAGAATCAACATGAATGCGATAGGGGGGGTGGGGTTGTGTGTGGACCACGACCATCAAACTCACTGCACTCGAGAACCCGGTTCAACCACAGGTGGGCTACCCGGAGTCAAACTCAGGTTCTTAGCGGTGCCAGCTCAGCCATCTCAGCCACGTGTGGGATGGCTCTGAGACAACGGCGAACGCCTCCACTGTGCATCGTGACACGCGCTCGCGGGGGCCGAGGGGGGAGGGGGGCTCTGCCATCTGAACCACAAGCGCTGAAGCCGGACTTGACCACCTGAGGTCCGCAAGGCCTGGAGTTAAAGTTGCACTCGAGCAGCGAGGCTGCGTTGAGCTGAAATCCGTGCTTGCGCGTGAAGGTGCGCGTGCTGAAGTTGAGGTTTTCATCCCAGAAGCGGCGCACCTCGTCCGCCACCTCCTCTGGCCACTCGTCGACAACGCCGGCCGACAGGATGCTGAGAGCGGCCAGCAGATCCGTGGTTCCCTGCAGAGAGCTGCGGCGGTACCTGTGTCACGCACAGCCCGCGTCGTCGCTGTTTGACGTCATTGTCTTCGTCGTGATTAACGTTGCCATTGTCACCGTCGTCGTTTGCTGTCATTGTCACCGTCCACGTTGTCGTCATCGTTGTTGTCACTGTCGTCATCAGTCACTACGCTTCCACCCATCCGTTGAACATCAACTAACAAAGCCCCTCATCCAGCAATCACCCACGCATCATCACCCAGCCATCGCTCCACCCACCCATCTTTCAACGAGCCATCACTTATCCATCAACCGGTCATTCACCAAACTCATCATCCACCTATCCATTATCACTAACTCATCAATACGAAAACTTCAAATCTGGAACTCATCAATAATCCATCACCCATACAACATCCATCCACCGTCCTCCAGAATCTGCAGCAGCATCGCAACTTGCGTGGCTTTCATCAGCTGCTCATCTTTGATGAATGGATTGGTCGATGAATGGATGGATTAGGAGACTTATAATTGGACAGTTGTATAGATGGATGTATGGATAAATGGGTAGATACAAAGATGGATTCACGGTACGTGCATATATGACAGAAGGTAATGCTTACCTAATTTGGCGAATGTGTGAATTGCCATGATTCAATGTTATGATTCAATCCAAGGATAATGTATTTCACATTGAGCTGAACTAAGCAACGTCCAGCAGTTGCCGGGGTCATTTCAACACATTACATAGGAGAGAGACAATTAAAAAAAACAACCGTGTAATCATTCTCACATGATATGATGCGCCCATTGCGAGCTACGGAACCAATACTGAAGCGGAGTGCGCACGCACGGACGCACGTGACGGACCTGCCGAGGGTGCACGTGCGCTGGCTAACACGGGTGTTCATCGCGCGCCGTCATCACCGATTGTAGTTGCAGAAGGTGACGGCGGGGAAGGAGAGGTCTCGCACGTAGTGCAGCGTGAGCGAAGTGCTCGTGGGCCAGGCGTAGTAGGCGGCGAGACGCAGCGCCACCTGCCAACCCGCCATGGCCACGCCCGCCACCACCACCGTCATCCAGAAGGCCCTCTGTGCACGGCTCTGCGCGGAGGTTGCCCGTGCCACCCCGTGAAGACTCGTGGAGGAGGAAAAGGCAATCATCTCCTTTGGCGAGTCCGTGGGCCCTGCAGGGCTTCCCGTGGAACAATGCAAAGGGAGGATCGGGTGGTTGTGTGGACGGTGGTGGTGGTGATGGTTTCAATGTTGGACAATGGCATGTTTGCAGGTCTGTTTATGGAGCTGCAGGGGCTTCCATTGATGAGTTCACAATTCACAACCTAGCCAGGGTTGACTTGGCATTGTCAGCTAACATTCACCCATCGTTATTGTCATCTGTAATCATAACAATTAGCAGCAAAGGTAACTAACATTTTGGCAGTATTTTCAAACCTTAGATTTTATTAATGTTGATCTACAGCATTAAAATACTCTCAATGATATTGTCCATGACTCTATTTCCCATGGCTCATTAGACACTAGCTATTATCTTAAGCATATAAATAATAACATACACACGTAGACATGCAGGATTTAAAGCCATTAATATTTTCCAAAAATAATTGAAATCAATGTAAAACGAGACCGATGCCACGTTTGACTATTAGCGCACCTTCGCGCTTTGAACCCAGCGACGTAAGATCCATTCCCAACCACGGCTAACATTCTAGATTTGAAGCTTTCGTGACTGCAAGGATTCATACTGTTTGGTTTTTTCGGTCAAGTCACGTAGGTAAAACAATCAATAAAATAAAATAAATTAAAACAACTACATTAAATCACGACGTTTCGGAGGCAACACAAGCTTCCTTCATCAGGTGTAAAAAAGGCACAGCAAAATAACTCCTCTTACCCTATACAACAATGTCTCATCACAAATAACTCTCGCTACAGTTATTTTGCTGTGCCCTTTTTTACACCTGATGAAGGAAGCTTGTGCTGCCTCCAAAACGTCGTGATTTAATTTAATGTTTTCATTTATTTTATTTTATTGATTGTTTTACCTACACGGCTAACATCATTGGATGGGCTCTCTCCACCCCCCTCTCCCACCCCCCGTGAACAACACTTCATAAACCTGCACTACCAACATGGTGAAGTATGGTCAAACAACCCACATGACAAATACGGAGTGGAGGTGCCCTCTTTCAAAAGTAGATTGACATGGTTCTGTAAACCAGCATTCATTATTATACTAACTGCTATTGTTTAAAGAGGCGCGTGCATGTCGGTCACACTTGGATGAGCGATTACTAAGAGCTTACCTTCTCTGCAGGCACGGCGCGTTGGAAATCTTCATCGCGTGATCGCCCTTCCACCGCGTTCGTAATTTGAGTAGAGCCTTGGAGCCAGTCTTCTCTATATAAACATGTGCCACTTACTGAGAGACAATATTTGCGCCTGTAGAGCACGCGGGAAGCCCTCTGCGGGCAAATGTTTGTACAATTTGTCACAACGCGTGTTGCCTGCGTCCCATCGCTATTCTGTTTTGTTACCAAAGTGCTTAAACATCGTTATCCGAATTCTCGATTACGTCCCTAAATGCGTTCAATGAGCGCTTTGTCACTCACGCTAACTGCCCGGGTAAAGTTTTGCATCTGTGACGAGCCAATGTCTTTTGGAGCGGTGGCGCGGTGATTTGCAACACAGTCTGAAGCTAGCGACTCATCCATACGGCTATTTGATCATCCATCAATACATCCACTCATACAGATGTATCTCCACGAATACACCCATTAATGCATCTATATTAGTTTGGCTATACACCCAACTCTCTATCCATTCATTTCTCAATGAATGCATACATCCATTTGTATGATTCTTTGTTCATCCACTTAGCGCTCTTGAAAATTGTTCTCGTGATCTCGTGTTTAAAATTTTAATTAACTGATCATCTCGTACGGAATTTTTCATCGAGGTATTCATTACATGTAGTTACTAACACTGTGCTCTGACAACGTGTTAAAATGTGGTCCGTTCTTAATAACGTAACGCTTGAATGCTATCTTTGGGATGCTGTTAGAATGGGCACTGAAAGATTGGGTGCTGTTGCCTTTGCAACAGTCACGAGAGGAAGCAATGCCCAGGTGTGGTTGCAAAAGTGCCCCTGGTGGTGATGACTTCCGGACAATCATCATCATCGGTCTCCATGTCCAGGCAGCATTCAGCTTGGATAGCAACAACTCGCCAAATCTTTCCATACAGTATTTACAAAATGAATGCATTTCCTTGAATAATGCACTTTCGACTCTCGATTTTTCTTCAAACCTACTGAAAACAAAAAAACCCGATTCACATACAAGCTAATCCAGACTTTTGAGATGTGGTGCTTCCAAAGACCGCTTCAGATTTCACCCACTGCCCAGCGTACAAATTGCACGAACCACAACTGGCAATAAAAAAAGAAGAAGAGGAAGCTGCTGTGCTTTGCTCTGTCACTCGTATACGAGAAAAAAAAACCTTCCAACACCATCCTGCAAGTCTCGGTCAAAGGGACGAGGAAGGGAGGTCAACCAAGGACCAAACGGATGATGGACTTGGTGTCGTGGACAGGGAGGCAGGCCGCGGATGTTGTGCAGATCGCAAACGACTGCGGAAGGTGGAGATTTAACTTGCAATGCCGACTGTGACGCCACAACTACCACTCGGACTGGAAATGATACTGCAGCGTAGGTATTAATTCTAGATTTGAAGCTTTCGTGACTGCAAGGATTCATACTCATAGGTTTTTTTTGGTAAAGTCACGTAGGTAAAAAATGAAATTAAAAGTTAATAAAAGTAATAATGGAAATGAAATAAAATAATAATTTTAAAATAAATAAAAAATTCGAAATAACGTTTTAATTTTATTATTATTAATTATTAATTATTTTAAAATAATGATTTCATTTTATTTCCATTATTACTTTCATTAACTTTTAATTAAATTTTTTACCTACGTGACTTTACCGAAAAAACCTAAGAGTATGCAGCGTAGGTGTTTACAATGTCATGTTCGACATTACGCCCGACGGTGTCCGACGTTTTAGACATCAGAGTGGATCATGGCAGGGGCAAGTGCAGGGGAGCAGAGGAGAGGGGAAGGGATGAGGAGGAGGAGGGGGGGAGGTGGAGTCGGGTGGCAGTTGAACAGCGGGGGAAAAGTTTGGCGCTCCAACGAGGAACGGGGCAGGCTCAGCGTTCATGGCAGCGCGAGTGAGGAGGCGAGGGAGGGATAGTGGGGAGGGCGACCGTGGGAGCAAGAGCGCTCTCGGGGAACAGAGAGCGCGCTCGGAGGAAGAGACACACGCAGCGCAAGACCGGAGAGTGGGTTAGTTGAGTTTATTTCACGTAATAACCTCGCGTCATAGAATCGTTGCGTACGCCACAATTGCCTTCGACACATTTCACTGTTCTCCGGGTACAGTTCTGTGAAATGCTCGCGGCGGACGAGCGTGCGGCAGCAAAGTGCGACGAATGCGACGCGTCGCCCGGAGCTCCGCCGTCACACAAGGGGGGAGGAGAACAGCGCACGCACAACGGCGGCCACGGACGCGACACGCTGCTGGGTCTACGCGTCGCTGCGGTGTCGCAGCAGCAGCGGCGTTGGACGGCTCTGCGCGTCGAGACGGCCGCCTCTCGAGGCGGACTTGAAACGCTCCGGCAGGCGGGCATGGCACGACGCTGTGGAGTGGCGCGGGCACGTGGCCATGTGGTGGCGAAGCGCGGAGGAGCTGCGGACCGGAGAAGCCCAGCGAGGTGGAGAGGAGCTGGGAGTCGGAGACGCCCTGCGGCGAGGCGGAGCGCTGCGCTCGTGGCAAGGCATCGAGAGCCATCCCCTTGAACAACAACAGCAACAACAGCAGCAACAACAACAACGAAAATGAGGACGTAACAATTTGTGTTTGACTTTTTGGTGATTTTTTTTGTTGCTTTTTTACTTGACATTTTCAATTGGCTTTTTTTATTTTAACCAGGCATCGAACACGAATTATCACGTGTGGTCCATCCACCCCAATTAACATTCACGGTTCTCCTACCCCCACACCAGTGTGAAAGGTTTCTGTGGTCAACACATTAACCTCGTGTGATAGTGACGACCTGGGAACAGCTGGCGGTCGGCACTTAACAACGGCAAACACCTGTAGCACTACCCTGCGGGCCACCATAAGTGTAAACACTCTTTGTTTCGACGCGACACTTGCACAACTACTCAGCATTACACGTGCAATCTTTCTTCCTTCTTCACGTCGCTTCAGTCACCCTTAATTTACCAGCTGAGGGTCCGTTCAAACAGTACATCTGTTTGCACGCATCATCCAGCCCAGTCTCACCACGTCAGATAAAACAATGTCGTATCTGTACTCTGTAGTTTCCTAGTCAGCGGAGACCGTGCGTAATTTATTCTCATCTCCGCAGCATACAGCAATGGTAATGAATACAAGCTGGCAACCCAGTCTATTAAGGGAGCCACCATTACATTGCGCTAGGCCAGGGGTCAGCAACCAAAATAACAAGAAGAGCATTTTTTTTCGAATTCGGTGGGAAAAAAAACCTCAACATTTCAAGAGCTGCAATGCACAGTGTGGTGAAAACGAGACCGTGTTCCTGAATAACTGTCACGAAGCAGTTCCTTAGAGAGCCACCGCACGCGGCTCTGGAACCGCTGGTTGCCGACCCGAGCTAGATTGTATCTTAAACACATTCCTCCTGCGGAGGGAGCTGGTAGGAACGTTGGGTTGCTCGGTCAATGGCCAGGGTCAACGGCGGCGTGGTGTATTCCGCAAATATGCCCGACTGTGTGGGCGGGCACAAGCCGGCGTGAGTAGGTTCAACGTTGAGTTTTATAAGGTGTCTCATCGTCGCCAATCATGCTTAGGTATTTGTTGCTGTCGTAGTCTTCGTCACACACTGGATGATTTTTGCCCGCTAATATTCATCGCCGAGTCGAAACAAAATTAAAAACGCTTCGTGAGCATGACCGACAGTGGGGGCAGAGCGTGCGGAGAGAGATAACGGGGAGCGCGATGGACGCGGCGCGCTGCACGTACGACATGCGCTCCAGCAGGCGCGCCTTCTCCTGCTGCAGCGTCGCCATCTCGGCCTGCAGGTGCCGCGCCTGCCTCTCGCTATCCTCGCGCTCGCGCCGGTTCACCTCGGCCTCCTCGCACGCCGCTTGCAGGCTGATGCACGCACGCACACACACACGCACGCACACACACGCACACACACACACGCATGCACGCAACACGCACACACACGCACACACGCACACACACACACGTCCACGGTAATCGTGACACGGTACGTTGCATGTTGCAGAAGTTTGCGGTTACAGCCTAGCGACTGACCTGGCTAATACTGCATTTGGGGTGTATTGATAATAAAATAAAAAACGCCGTCTGCTTCAATGAAAATGTTAAACATCTCAGTGACCTTATTTAAAAAAAGAGTTAGCCATTTGTGCCGCAAACAATGCACGTTTGCCATATTTTTTCATCATTTATATCCAAATTAAACAAAAACATTTTCAAGAGCTGAAAAGTAATCGACTCTTTTCCAGATGCAGTGACCTTCTGCCTGATTGCTAGGTTTCCCTCCTCCTTCACAAGAGCTGAGTGTCATACATCTCCCAGCATTGGGGCAAGGGTCCAAACATATCGTTTTGACTCCGACACTCAATCTGGAGCTGTGCATGCGTTAACAGCGGAGGCGATCGAGAGGTCAATGTTGAGTGAACATTTGGTACAGACGAAGCCTCCAGTAGCCGACAGAGCCGCATATTCCTGTCCGTCAGAGGTCGCAACCGGGTACCCGATACCCGTACCCTACCCGATATCCCATTTGCGACCCTGGTGCGGCCGGGTACGGGTAAGGAATCAAAACCCGTTTGCGACCTCTGCTGTCCGTCAGTGTGAGCCGAGAGGCCCTTACTCCGCCCTCAGCTGAAGGATCTCCTCCTCAGACGCCAGGTAGGTGGAGGCTGAATTGGTCTTTGAGGCTTCAAGCTCGTCGGCCATGTTTTTCAGGCTGGAATAGAAAATGTTGGCATGGGGAAAACCCTCATTCACGTACGGTGGGAGAGGGCCTCATTCAGCAGTGGACTGACAAGGGGCTGTACATGTGTGTACTCGTACAACCCGTCCCGACACACAGTCAAAATCCATTGTATCTAAAAAAAATACACTATTTTCAATTTAAAAGTGTTGCCTTTCCTGATAAGTCATTGCATTGCGGCATTGCTTCTACCAAAAAAACTAAAGAGAAATGTACCTTTTTAAAAAGTGTTTTACATGTGAGAGGCAGCCAGAGCATAAACACTCACTACTTGCCAAAAACATCTTAATAAAAAGAGAACTCCACAGCAATTGTTGGCACCGGCTCACCGCCCGGCAGCATTCCAGCTTACCCGCCATTCCTCAGCGACCGTGAGATGCAACTTGCATGAACGACGACGCTACGTCAAAATAATCTTCTTGGTTCTTTCGGTAAAGTCACGTAGAAGGGAAGTAATAAAATAATAATAAGAAGAAGAGGAATTCCTCTTGATATGCAAATTCTTTTGTCAAGGCGCTCTTCTTCCACCTCCAACCCAGCTTATATATAAGCTCCAAGCTTGGCAGTGTTTCATTCTTCACCTGAAGACGGCTGCTTGCGTTGTGGCCGAAACGTCGTGAGAATTATTTTATTATGTTTTATTTTTATTATTTTATTACTTCCCTTCGACGTGACTTTACCGAAAGAACCGAGAAGATGAATCCCTGCACTCACGAAAGCTTTAAATCGAAAGACAAAATAATCGTTACATTTATTTTCATTTTTAGGCATCGGGTGCAAGCGCCACCACGCCACGGATGGCGCAGAGCGGCAAATCACCCACCGCTGCTTGGCATTGCTCAGCGACTGGCGCGTGGATCGCAGCTCCGACTCGAGCGACCCCACCTCCCGCATGTGGCGCGCACACAGGTCTTGCAGCTGCCGCTCCTTCTGCGCCGTCTCCTGAACACGAGACGCTCGCGTGTTGGGTGAGTTAGTCAAGACGAATCGGAGCATCGGTGCTTTTGGCATTTGCGCCGTTTCTTAGGACGCAAGGCTGTTGCGAAGGAGCTATGTTTCGCACGTGAGTAAATATGCAGTAGATTCATAGTTAACGATTGCGTAATTTGCGAGCAATTTTAAGATTTGGTAAAATTGGGACCGTGACGCCAGGACACGTGGCATACTCGATTATAAATAAACATCGCAGGTTGTGGAATGTCCACTGTGAAGCAGAGGTCGTGTATTTTTCGTTTATACATCTGCTGTATTAACCAGGGCGGCCGTGCGACTCGAACCGCGAACCTCTGCAGCAAGCGGCAAGTGAGCTGCTGCACGAGCATTTCACCATCCGAAATTTGGCAAGATAACTGTGACTAGGGGGTTGTCACCTTCTCCGCTTTAGACTAAACCCACACATATTTCTTTGTCAGCATAGGTCAATCAAAACTGCAAAGTTCAGTCAGAAAGATCAACACAATATCACAAGATCTTGGCACAAGCCAAATCATGCCAATTCGCGCACTGTCCTGGTCAAAGCCTCCGTCCCGTAAATCCAGACAGGTGGCAACCGAGTGACGAAGCTCAGAAGCAATGGCGTCAGCTATCGAGTGTGTGCAGGTGGTACAGCATTTGTTTACTTCTCTGCTCTGTAGAAAAAGTTGCTTCTTCACAAATTCCGCCACAGTATTTTACAGCCGTGAGGTATTGCGACGTGGTACGAGGCAAACCCGAGACCATTCGAGGCATGGGGCTGGGACACAAGTGGAGTTGATAAAGAAGATTTGGACTGCGATTAGTAACAAAAATGCCCTGGGCTTGGTGGTTCAATTCCTACCCTAGCTAGCCTGTTTTTTTAAATCTTTCCCTTACTTTCATAATTTTGGTAGTAATATTGGTAGAGGTAGGTTTAGTGGCCTAAGGTTGCCAGTGTGGTGATGGGCAGCATAGGTGAAGGTGAAAATTAGTTTGTGGGAAGTAGTCCACGGTGAATTTGGTCGTTTCCTCCCCCACTTGATGAATGCAGCAGTTTGGCCACGCACAGTGAGAATTGGTCTTGAAAGTGGTTGTGAGGGATATTCAGTCATGAGAGGGATTATCAAAAAAGAATGCCACCTGTACTTTGGTTGGTTTGGAGGGGGCTTATATGGATTTGGAGCACAGATAAAATCATGTAGGTGCACAGGTTATCAAGACACCTCACTGGTTGAATGGTCTGGCCTCTGCAGTAGAGGCAAGACTGGGACTGCCTGGGAAGGTTCGAGCGTGCAACTGCGTGATCCCCAGGAGGTGCAGCTGAGAGGATGAGAGCTGGGGGTGCTCAGAGCCAGGAGTGAACGATAACACCCAAGCCTACCAAGCTGCTTGCAGTCACTGCATTGGGCCTTGTAAAGGGCCAGGACTCTGCCAGATGGGCCAATGAAAAGACGGTGGACAGAGTGGGTGTGAAGGGGTAGGTGGTGTGTGTGTGTGTTTGCGTGTGTACTTTCGTGGGAAGCTGCAGTGCAGTGGTTAAACCTGGTGACGAGTTCGTTTACAGTTCACGACCAATATCAGCGACGATTATCTGAACCGGTACTGGGCCTCCCAAGGTCGACTTTGAACTATAATGGGTACCTGGTGCGGTGTGTTAACATATTCAGCACTGGGGAGACAAAGGCAGGCCGGGCATGGTGGCTGCCACCCACCCCCTCGTATGCCGTGCCGGCCTTTCATAAGTGCTCGCTAACAGCACTTTCCCCAACAGTCTGTCAAAGGTTATATGGGGATCTATGACTTTGCATGCGTGACATTGATAGTGGGTTTTCCCTTTGTATGAAGATGACCATCATTGCTCTACAAAGTACTTTAACACCCTCTGCGTCTCCGAGTGGGGTGTGTTTTCACGCCACAACCGTGCGGCCAACCGCCCTCCCCAGCCAAGCGGACATTTGTGTCCGCAACGCGAGAGATGGCGGACAAGCTCGTGGCAAGTACCCTGATGAGGGTGAGGCTGGTGTTGGGCGATACGCCCGGGGAGACGGCGACGTTGCTCTGAAAGGGCAGGAGACGTGACTTGGCGCTGGCGGTGGGCCCACCTAGGAAAGCGAGAGAGGCTTCGTGTTGGCTTCACAGCGTTCTTCCGCATGGAGAGGTGTGGGGCACCGCCAACAACCCGGGATATGGTGTGCTCTGCGAGTAGGGGATCCGCACCACTAGTCCGTAGGCAATGTACATGGTGATTTCTCGTTTCTGATCAATTGCTACGTATCACCCGTTCTGGTAGGTGCAGGCTATGTCCTGACTCCAACGGCGTGGGTTCTGGCTACATGATCGGAGTGTCCAAAAGCCAATGTTTGTTCGGTCCTACAGTCAATCTTTCAATGGTCGTAGGTTTTTACCCTTTTTAAACTGGTACAAAACTGACACATTGTACCAGTTTAAAAGGGTAAAAACCGACTACTATATTTTGCCACTGGTAAAAGAGATCTCATAGTGTAAATGTCTTTCAATGGTCATTAATATTCTCCGAATGTAAATTGAGACGGTGGTTCATTGCATGCATATGTTTATTGCACCTAGAAAAATGTAGCACGAAGAATGCATACTGGAGGTTAAGAAACCCTGGGCAACATTGGCAAAGTAAGTAATGTCCAAGATATTTTCGTTTGTGGGCTGATTAATAAAAGTGCAGTTCTGCAGTAAGTTGCTCAACCAACTGCTGACAGAAGGACCTCCACTAGAGGGAGCTAGAACCCTGCTAGAGAAAATGTGGCCTACTCGTTAATGCTGGTAAGAAGTCTTGTACAGAGTTGGGAGTATCCACACGACCAGACTACAGGTCGTGTGATTGACAAATTGTGATACACAATATACCAATTTATCCTGTTTGATGGACAGAGGTAGGGGTGTCATAGAAACGCGCCCATTGTTTCAACTACCATGCTAGCAAATTAAACCATTGACCTTTGGATAAAAAAATTCTGTATGCCAGCATCCCTTCAGTACTGAATGCATGCCCCGTATAAATGGGTGCTTGCTGGGGCAGTTCGTGTGTGGGTGTTGGCTGTGCGGTTGTTAGCTGTGCTATTGGCAGTCTGCTGGACTCTGGGCTACCCATACCTTGGTTGGTCTTATTGCTCATCATGTTCAAAAGCTGATTCTGCACCTTTGAGGTCCTCTCAATGAGCTCACAGCAGTGGCTCAAGTTTTCATTGCTGCTGTTGGCCTGCGGACAGCGCAACACGCGTAAGGACATGCCAAGTCATACCGCAAAACAACTGTCACTGGCCGCTTGGCTCGATGCACAAACACACTTGCTATAGTCATTCCGAAGGTGTAAGTCAGCAGAGATTGACTGGGCCACGAGGCAATTGGGCATTTTCTCGGCGAGCCAGATCTGGATTTGAGTTGACTTGAGACTTAAATCTCAGCTGCACAATCAGCTGGTGGCAAAGTTGTGCAGAGTAAGAAAACTCAACTCCTGGTAGGTAGAGCTTGTAAAATTAATGTCCAGTTAACTGCTGCAATAATTCCAATCCTGTAAGTCGGTGGATTGTATTTGGCTTTTTACTGTAGGCATCACGACATATGGGGAGTAATAAAAATGGACACAAACTACCACTGCCTGATACAGTACCTGAATTTAAATAGGTTTGTTAGATTTTTTTTTCAATTTAAGAACTGAATGAAGGGGAAAACCTTTTTCTACCAATGGGAAAGAACCATTCCAATGTGCCTTGAGAATAAAGTGTGTAATCCTTGCGTGTACTGCCTGTTATCAGACATGATTCAGAAACATGGTCGTTCATATAAGATCTCGAACAAACATAATATCGTTTTTTTGTTAAATAGCGTGGACATAAATGGGTCGTTAAGCCCGCCACCACACGACAAAGCCAATTAGTAAGGTTTGTCACTTGAACAGAACGTGCCAATTCGTTACTCGTACAGCACACCGCTGTGTTGGAGAGCAAATCCACACCATTTACAATCTGAGTACCATTTGTACGACTTACTAATTACTAATTGGCTGTATGCAGTGGTGGCGGGTTTAACGACACATATTTACGCGATCTAACCCAAAAAAAACGATATTACGGATATTGGTCGCGAAAGCCTCCGACTACGTGTTAAACATCTCGAACAAAGACCAAAAAAGTGCACAAATAACAACCGGCAGATGCAACCTTGGAATTTCACCGCGACAGACAGAGACAGAGAGAGAGGAACACGCGGATTAGAGATCATACACAGGGGTGCGTGACATCGTTCCAACTTAAAAACTCTCAAAACAACGTCGCGAGTAGGAGGAGGAAGAGCAGGAGGCACTCCGATGGGCCGAGAACAAAAACGGATTGGCAGCTTTTGAAGTGGAGCGCGCCCTCGACAATGCCACGGATGACACCTCAAGCAGACGCCCCCCCCCCCCCCCCCAACGAGGCGCGCTTCGAAGCTCACGTGGAAGTCGCCTTGCCAGGAGTCCAACCTCTCCTGCAGGGCTCCGTACGCGCCGCTGTTGGCGAGACGTCGCAGTGACTCTGCCATGGCTCGCGTGCTCGTGGGCTGCCCGCCGCCGTCATCCTCCTCCTCCTGTGCCCTCCAGCCCGGGTTGGACCCCCGCCGCCTACGGCGAAAGTCGCCTTCGGGCATCTGCCGCCTGAGTCGTCCCGCCATGCAGCGCTGGGCGGTGGGACGCGCGCGTTTGGGCGCCCTTGGAGGTGGCCAAGGGGGGTGTTGGTCTCGGTCTGGCTGTGCGGGCAGGGGAGGGGGTTAGTTTAAACTATTTAAACTTTGATTATAAAGCTTTCGTGACTGCAGGGATTCATATTATTGGTTGTTTCGGTAAAGTCACGTAGAAGGGAAATAATAAAATAATACCAATATAAAACAATAACAAAATGTTTGTTGTTTTATATTTGTATTATTATAAAATAATACAAATATAAAACAAACAAAAAAATTATTGTTTTAAAATAATACAAATATAAAAAATACCAAAAAATATATTTGTATTATTTTACAAATAAAAAAATATTGTTTTATATTTGTATCATTTTATTAAACTAAAACTATTTAAACTTTGATTTAAAGCGTTCGTGACAGCAGGGATTCATATTCTTGGTTCTCTCGGTAAAGTCGATATTTGTATTATATAAAATATAAAAAAAAATTATATTTGTATTATTTTATTATTTCCCTTCTACGTGAATTTACCGAAAGAACCAAGAATATTTAAACTTTGTTTTTATTTTACCAGGTAAAGACCCCACTCAGCTTATTTTTCAGAAGCGAACCTGGCCGCTAATGATGGCTTATCAGTCGCCGGGTGTCCAACGTGTCCGTGTTGTTTATATAACGAAGTTGTTGAAGTTGTTACGGTCGCGGGTGCGAAACGGCATGTTTATTATCGCACGCGCGCTTAGCTACAACTTTTATATTCTCAATTCGTACTCTAATCGATCTATCGACCCCCGTGTGTGTGTGTCCGTGGGGAGCGGTGGCGCAGTGGTTAGCGCGCTGCGCTACAAACCTCAGAGGTCCGAGTTCGTTTGCCCGGTGACGATTATTTGAACCGGTCCTGGGCCTCCCCTAGGTTGACTCGGCCTCAAATGAGTACCTAGTGCGGTGCGTAAACATCGCCACTGGGGAGACAAAGGCGGCCGGGCGTGGCCCTGGCCACCCACCCCCTCGTGTGCCGTGCCAGCCTTCATAGGCGCTCGCTAACAGCACTTGCCCCGAGTCTGTTAAAGGCTATACGGGGAATCTTTGTCTTTGCCTAAAGGTGCACCTAGCCTGGCACAGCGCCGTAGTGATGACAACTGCCACAGTGGCGGACGGCGGCTCTTGGAGCGGTGGTGCAGCGGTTAGCGCACTGCGCTACGAACCCGGCCATTTGAACCGGTCTTGGGCCTGCCCTAGGTCGACTCAGCCTTAAACGGGTACCTGGTGCGATGTGCACAGCATCAGCGCTGGGGAGACAAAGGCGGCCGGGCGTGGTGTTGGCCACCCATCCCCAGCAGTCTGTTAAGAGGCGATACGGAAGATCTTTGTGCGGGGAGTGCTGTGAGTACGAGCGTGTGACGGCGTCTGTGTGGCCGTCTCTAACCGACGGCTCTCGGTGACGCCTCGCGGCGCTTCGAGTTCGTTTGGGCGGTTTGTGGCGCGTGCTTTGTGAGTGACCTCCTGGGTCTGCCCCGTGACCTCCTCCTGCCAGCGGGCGTTCGACACTTCACGTGGCCTCAAGGTGCACATGGCCTGGCACGAGCGTCGTGGTGACGTCACCGCCACTTAGTGGCGACTGGCGGTTGTTGTTGTTGTTGTATGTCTATGTCTGTGTGTGTGTCTGTGTGTGTCTGTCTGTGTGTCTGTGTGTGTCTGTCTGTGTGTCTGTGTGTGTGTCTGTGTGTGTCTGTCTGTGTGTCTGTGTGTATGTCTGTGTGTGTGTGTCTGTGTGTGTGTCTGTGTGTGTCTGTGTGTATGTATGTGTGTGTGTATGTCTGTGTGTGTGTCTGTCTGTGTGTGTCTGTGTTCGTCTGTGTGTCTGTGTGTGTGTCTGTGTGTCAGTGTGTATGTCTGTGTGTGTGTGTCTGTGTGTGTGTCTGTGTGTGTCTGTGTGTATGTATGTGTGTGTGTATGTCTGTGTGTGTGTCTGTCTGTGTGTGTCTGTGTTCGTCTGTGTGTCTGTGTGTGTATGTCTGTGTGTGTGTCTGTGTGTCTGTCTGTGTTCGTCTGTGTGTGTGTCTGTGTCTGTGTGTGTGTCTGTGTGTGTATGTCTGTGTGTGTATGTATGTGTGTGTGTCTCTATGTCTGTGTGTGTGTGTATGTCTGTGTGTGTGTCTGTGTGTGTTTGTGTATGTGTCTGTGTGTATGCATGTCTGTGTGTATGTGTGTCTGTGTGTATGTATGTCTGTGTGTATGTATGTCTGTGTGTGTCTGTGTGTGTGTCTGTGTGTGTGTCTGTGTGTGTGTCTGTGTGTGTTTGTGTATGTGTCTGTGTGTATGCATGTCTGTGTGTATGCATGTCTGTGTGTATGTGTGTCTGTGTGTATGTATGTCTGTGTGTGTCTGTGTGTGTGTCTGTGTGTGTGTCTGTGTCTGTGTGTGTGTCTGTGTGTGTGTCTGTGTGTGTGTGCGCGGTATTGTCGCGGCTACCGCGCTGCGCTACGAACCTGGCCACCCGAGTTCGATTCCCGCTCACGGCCACCGCCAGTGACGATTGTCTGAACCGGTCCTGGGCCTCCCCTAGGTCGACTCAGCCTCAAATGTGTAAACATCGCCACTGGGGAGACAAAGGCGGTCGGCCTTTATAGGTGCTTGCTTACAGCTCTTGCCCCAGCAGTCTGGCGAAGGATATACGGGGGATATTTGCGTCTCCGTGTCCATGCGTGAATGTCTTGTCGATGTAATGCAAGGCCGTAACTATAATATATATTGGGGGGGGGGGGACACACATCCCCCCCCCAATATTCAAATATGCTCAAAATGTCCCCCCCCCCGAATATATTGCTATAAAAAAATAAACATTGCTATGCTATGTAAATAAAAACAATTTGCTAAACCTTGGCCACAATATCTGGACTTGTCTATAACAATGCATAGATTTCTGTTGATACGATTGTGGCTATGGTTGTACTTTATGAATCCCTAATCTCTGCCATTACATACAATGAAACAAGAAAATGTAAAAAAACAGAGCAACGTAATATAATACACTCTTAGACATTATTGTCAAAAATAATCAAAAGTCCATCGCATGTTTTAGTGAATTTTTTATATTTTAGGCAGGAAATGGCAAGAAATTAGTTTTCAAATTTAGATTAATTTTTCTGGGTTGGGACCCCCAGACCCCCTGGGAGATTTGGTCCCCCCAAATGTTGCCTCCGTGGCTTACGGCCTTGGTGTGATGTGTGGAGGTGCTGCACCCTAAAGTGGCGCACAGCTGTGGAGAGGGATCGACGACGGCTCTCCCCAGCCCGCCGCACTGAGCACTTCCGTGACGCCATCGGAAATTTCTTGAAACTTATTTTTTATAATTAAAAGTATTTTTATTTATTTGGAAATAGTTTTGTTTTCTATTGAGCGCGTGACTGAGAACCGCACGACGGAAGCGTCAAGTGTGCCCCTTCAAGATGAATCGCCTGTGAATTCGCGCAGTATAGGGGTGGGGGTGAGAGGACGCGTTACGCCAGAGGTGTCTGTAGGTGCAGCACACAGCTCAGTTACAGAGGAATGACCACAAGGGAGGGGCAAGGGTCAAAGAGGGGGGGTATCGGGAAGCTCCCAGAACCCGCGAGAAACTTCGCGAAGAGGGGCGTGGCCAAGGGCAGGGCGTGGTCAGGGGTGGGGCATGGCCGCGCTCGGGGTATATAAGGGAGAGCGGAACGCAGTTCTGGGAGTTCTGGGCGTTCGTGGTCTTCGTCGCTGCTGTCTCTGCGGCATCGTTATGTAGCTGTCTCACTCTATAGTTAAACATTGTCATCCAGCTGTATAGTCATCGTCGCAGTATAGTCAGACATAGCCGTTGTTGCTGTATAGTCAGCCAGTTATCTAGTCAGTCAGGGATACGAATTAGTGGCTGTGTCATTAAAATCGTCACTGTATGTATGCCGACGAGAAATGAATGAGAAGCCCTCTACAGTGCGTGTCTGAAGCCGCTACATTACACTTTTAAACAGGTAGATGCTCTAGTGCAGTGGTTCTTCACCTTTGCTGCAGAATTGCACCCCTTTGGTTCTCAATCGTAAAACAAATGTAGAATGTTAATGCATTGGTTTGATGGAGCAAAGTACCTCGCTTGATGCGGGATTGGTAGGGGTGTCGGTACAGGTTCATAACAATTTATACGCATTGCCAGTTCGAAATCGTGTTGTAAGGAAAGCCCATGAAACTTTAATAAACGAGCATTGTACATGAACTATCGCTTTTAAAAGTTAAAAAGACACCCCCCCCCCCCCCATCTCCTTGCTGAGAGAATCAAATCTGTAAATGTTAAGAAAATTAGCCACAATAGAAGCAATCAAGTTTATTTTGTTTAATCAGGTCACAATGAGCTGCGTCACCAACATGATTAAAGCATAACAGAAAAAATTATAATAAACTCCTGTACCGCATGAGGAATCGAAAATTTTTCAAACAATTTCCGGCAGCGCAAATAACCTTTGGCAGATTACCTCGAGATTGATCACATGACAAATTACAAAAACTTTGCTACAGAAACGTTAGCATTAAAGATTACAGGGTGGCTAGAGTTCTACTGCATAAAACGACGAAATATACGTAAAATGCTAAAATTAGTGCAAGGCTTAAAACATATCAATATGGTCACAATGCAGTTATTATGGACCGGTTGTTTTGCATCATATACTTGCATTGCACATAATAATAGGGGTTTTCCCCCTTTTTTTCTGGCCACAAAACTGAAACCTTTTTACAAGGATCATGATCCGCAGCTTGCTTTGTTAATATACAGGTCTAAAATAGGTGGGATCTATTATCATATGCCCTACACGTGAGCAGGAAATAGGAATTGATGTCTAGAAGTTAATTTATTTGCATGATTAGTTTTATTACAGAAACCTGGAGGCATGGACATGCAAGCTGGAGGCGTGGGCCCTAACTATGGAGGAACCAATCTGACACCAGGCATTTACATTTCAGTTGGAGGCGCTTACCCATAATATTGAGAAGTCCACCTGCCCCATTGACCCATCGACATAGCTGGAGATGTATGCTCAACCTATGGAGCGATCCTGCCCCATTGACCCATCGACATAGCTGGAGATGCATACCCAACATATGGAGCGCTACTGCTCCATTGGCCCATCGACATAGCTGGAGATGCATAACCAACATATGAAGCGCTACTGCTCCATTGACCCATCGACATAGCTGGAGATGTATGCCCAACATGTGGAGCGCTCCTGCCCCATTGACCCATCGACATAGCTGGAGATGCATAACCAACATATGGAGCGCTACTGCTCCATTGGCCCATCGACATAGCTGGAGATGTATGCCCAACATGTGGAGCGCTCCTGCCCCATTGACCCATCGACATAGCTGGAGATGCATAACCAACATGTGGAGCGCTACTGCTCCATTGACCCATCGACATAGCTGGAGATGTATGCCCAACATGTGGAACGCTCCTGCCCCATTGACCCATCGACATAGCTGGAGATGCATAACCAACATATGGAGCACTCCTGACACATTGACCCATCGACATAGCTGGAGATGTATGCCCAACATGTGGAGCGCTCCTGTCCCATTGGCCCATCGACATAGCTGGACGTGCATACCCAAAACATCGAGGAGCCATCCTGGCACCTGAAGGCATGGACACACCAGCTGGAGGCGAATGCTCAAAATATGGAGGTGCTTGCACCACAGCAATGACCGTCACTCTGCGTGGGTCCCAAACACATTCCTCCTCCAGCCCACTGGGCACCATCCCACAGTTGGGTGGCACCCATGCAGTGTCGTAGCCTTCAAAACGCCAGGCCTTTTGCAGGGGATGGTTCTGTCTGTCGATCTTCTTCACTCTTCCCACGTTAACTTGGAGCTCCAGAACCACCCTGTCGTCGTGTGGTACGTTTCGTGGGTACGCCATGGCCTTGTCAATATCTCGGCTGACGTACACCCCAGGGCCCAGCATGCCATCAGTGGACTGTCTAAATCCCTCAGAGAGGATGGATCTGGCTCCACCCACGCTGGTGCCGTGGTACATGGTGTACACGGTGTTGTTCTTGGGGGTTTCGCCTCTTAATAGTGTCGAGATTTTGTTTTTCACGTCTTTTTTTATTCCTGAAAGATAATCCATGTTTACATTGGCGGACTCTCTCACGTGGCAGATCTGTGGTGTATAAGGCAGAATGATAAAGTTACGTCTAGAGAAACAATTCATGTGAAACCATTTGTCTAAATAATTCACCATAATTTTTGATACTATAATACTATGCTACCCTCGTCAAACCAATGCTGGATACAGGCCTCCCCATGCCTTGGAGTTTTTAATCAAGGTCGGCAATTTTACAATAAATAGCGGCTGCTACAACAAGCTGTCTCTAACAGCTGGGGAACCCCCGACAAGCCACACCTCCGCATGATGCCATGAAGCCCAACCAATCACTTTCCAGCTGTACACGTGGCACGAGGTGAAACGATATGCCAACTATTGTCATACTAATATATAAACTCCCAGCTCTGTCATTCTGTGACTGATTCTGTGATTAACGCGGCACGGATTGGTTGAAGTGCGTCACGTGACTGCGAGCAAAAGACGGGTTAGTGAAAGTGAGGTGACGAGAGAGTGAGGCAGAGCCGTGCTCTGTCCACTGCTGGCCTGGGGGTGAGCCGTGCTCTCTCCACTGCTGCCGTGAGGGTGCAAGGCGCGTTCTCTCCACTGCTGCCTTCAGGCAGAGCCATGCTCTGTCCATTGCTGCCCTGAGGGAGAGCCGCGCTATCTCCACTGCTGCCCAAGGCGCCCCCAACAGCCTAGTGTTATCAGATTAGTTGAGTGATCGGAATGATAAAAGGTACTGGATTTGAATACTTCATCGGATATCCCAGAAATAATTATGACATTGCAAATTAAGAAAAGTTTACAGATTACAAGTATTAACGTGCATAATAAGCCCAATCACAAAGATAATTTGAATGCAAGCTTTGTTAACTAACACTGACCTATATTATTCTATTCTCAAAGTTAATACGTTGAACAAGTAGATTGCTCATAATGCAGGACAGTACAATATATTTTATTGACTAAATTTAAAACCAAGTCAAATTCTGAAGCTACCAATGAGTTGTATTAATCAATACATTACACATAGGAATGATATATTTGTAAATTTGACAATCTTGCTGGGTGGTGGTGGAGGGTAATGTTGGCATAAAACTACAACGTGGCCTAACCCAAAAACATGGATCATGAAATATTGCGTGCAGAACTCGACCAGAGTTCTTAGGAGGAAAAGCTGCATGCAAGACATTGTTGACTCGACAAAACCACACCTAATTTCAATAATGCCAGAAGCATCATGCGGGCCTCGTGTTGACCATATTTGCATAAGCGACGAAAAGGCAGTTACCTAAAATACATCCACATACCAGGAAATAACTCGAAACCCCCACGCGGTTTCAACATTTCGAAGAGCGTCATGCTGGCAAGAATGTCTATGAAGTGCTTATCTTTTCATTATGGAGTAAACCAGATTATCGAGAAAAACACCGAACGAACATAAGGAACTGGCTATCTCACTGCACACGTGCATCGCGCAGCCACCTACTCAGTCCTGCCTTGGTTATCAATAATGCATATATCGGTGTTCACTGCTGGAATCAGAAAAAGACGTGAAGAATCCAGGAGGCGCTTCCGCCACGCCAATGAGCTGCACTCTGCTCGGATTCCAGACGCAGTCCTCCTCCCTCCCGCTGTTCACCATTCCGCAGTTGGGAGGCACCCAGGCGGTGTTGTAGCCGTGCTCGTGCCAGGTGAAACGCAGTGGGTGGTCCTGGCTGTCGATCTTCTTCACCATGCCCACCCTGACCTTCACCTTCAGGATGACCCTCTGGTTGGCAGGACAGTTCACTGGGTAACATCTGGCCTTGTTTACGTCACGACTCACGTAGACACCGGGACCCAGCATGCCGTCTTCTGATCGCCGGAAACCCTTGGCGAAGATGTTCCTTGCACCATCGATGTCGGTGCCGTGGTACATTGTAAAGATCATGTCAATTGGCTATTGCCAAGGGGTTGTGAGTTGAAACCTGAAACACCACGAGAGAAACTTCAATTGTCTTTCAGTCACAGCATTTGCATTTGTGAGCTTGGCCTACTGAGCTAAAAAAGGGCTCATTCTGACCTTAATGAACTAGAACAAGATGATATTGATTATGAATTTCAAACATTAAAAAAACTGTGACTGACCCACGGAACTATTTTGTTCAGCGAAGTGATCCTCCACAAGATGTAATGAGTCACGCTGGGAGTGAGGGTTTGTGTGTGTGCGTGTTTGTAGCGAGCAGTAGTGCAATAGGCTACCAACCCGGCGACCAGATTTCGATTCCAGCTGACGACCAACACCAGTGACGATTATCTGAAACCAGTTCTGGGCCTCCTCTAGGTCGAATCAGCCTCCAATGAGTACCTGGTGCGGTGTGTGAACATCGCCACTGGGGAGTTAAAGGCAACCGGCCGTGGTACGAGCCACCCACCCTCTCGTGTGCCGTGCCGACCTTCATAGGCGACGCTCGCTAACAGCACTTGCCCCAACAGCCTGTGAAAGGCTACACGAGGGATCGTTGTCGTTGTTGTCTGTCTGTGTGTGTACGTGGCCCCGTGTGTGTGTGCGCGCAATTGTGGTGACTTACAACAAGCAAGCCAGCATCGGCACTCAAGGTAAGTGTCAAAACCGATTCTACTCTATACAATATTACATGCATATCTACAACATTTCTTATTTATGAGTTTAACGAGGCTTCCCTTTTTTGTTGAATCGAAACACATTTTATAACACTTGACATATGTGCATTTAAATTGAGGAATGTCCGTAATCTGGTTACACCCATCAACCCTCAATTGAAATTACACATTTCCGTGGGTGGGAGCCATATATGTCACTCACCCGTTTGGATAATTCACTCGCTCCAAAGTGGTACTTATTTTATCGACCCAGGTTGATGGGTTGGAGTCAACCGCCAGCAGCGATATGAGCGAGCAACCTACTGATGGTCGGCAAAGTGCTATGACCCAACCGGTTATTGTTGTGTTAACAAATAGTATATTCTTAAGGCTCACGATGCATGCATCTAATAGCATGTGTAAGATTGTTTTTCGATTCTTATATGCTGTTCGCAATGGGTTTAACGTGATCTCTGCGGCCGCTAGAGGTCACTACTTTTGCCACAATGGAACAAAAAATAATCATTTCTGGAGTTGACTCTGAAACCTGCCCCCCATTGTGTCAACTGCCGCACCGGGAGATCGAATCCAACCGGCGACCTCTGGATTACACTTCCAGTGTTGTAACGATTACACCATCGTTCCCAGTTAACATGTTAATGTTTATTGCTGTTCGTTTCTATATGCGACAAACGTGTTACCGAATTTGTTTTATTCAGTTTCCAGTGATGCAAAAAACAAACGTGTCATACGACCCGAGTAAAGTACAGGCCATCCTGGTGAAGTATAGTCAAACAACCACCAGGTCCCACATGGCATTTCCTAACGTCACTAATCATCGCAGTTGTGTAGATGACAGGATACCAGCATGAGACAGTATTAACAGACGCGTTTACTCTTGAGAACATCGTTGGGCACAATGTAGTGAGTGTGAACTTACAAAGATACCGGCTCCCATAGCTAAGTGCCCCCCCCCCCCCCATTTTAATAAACCCACACTGGACCAGCGTGGTGAAGTATGGTCAAATAACCCCAACGGCCCGCACGAACACCATTTTTTTTAAAGTGTCGTGTAAACTCATTGCTTTTTTCGGTAAAAGTCACGTAGGTAGAAATAAAATAAAATGTAATAAAAAATGTTTTATTAAAATAAATCACGACGTTTCGAACACAACACAAGCGCTCATCATCAATGATATGTGACATGTGCATACAAATAGCGCTTGTGTTGCGTTCGAAACGTCGTGATTTATTTTAATTTAATTTATTTAAATTGTATTTTATTTCTACATACGTGACTTTACCAATACTAGATTAGTGTCGTGTAAAGTCAATTGTACATCGACACCGTGAGGTTGATCGTCTGCGGTCCCGATTTTTTTTTTTACAGTAGTAAATATAAACGGGCAATCATTTAACATGTGGTATATGCAACATGCAGGTGCACACATTTTATCAATCCAATGTTATATTGCTGCGATACATTTCCACGTGATAAGCCACTCCCTATAGCTACCATTTGTAGGCGGGTCGCTTCTGAAAGAGAAGCTAATAGCTCACTGGGATTTACCTGGCAAAATAAAATGGTGTTTTATTTGCGTAGTTTTTAAAAGTGATTTGTACACCTTTCCTATAATGTGCACTCCTATCGTGTTTTCATGTTGTTGTCTAATTCTGATCCGCCCCTACTGGACATCTGCGAAAAAAAGCTTTATAGCTCATCGGATTCCACAAGCATAAAGAAAGATTCTGATTGTGGGTCTCCCCGCGCTTGTGTGTGGGTTGTTTGAGCGTACTTCACCACGCTGGTCAGTGCAGGTTGGTGAAGGTGAGGGCGGCATAGACATTGGAGCTTAATACAGTGACAACTATGGCTTTTGATACATTTCCCTCTGCTGACATCAACCCCAAAGCAGCTGACAACACCTGATGTCGCATGCTCGTCGCCGGTCCAAGCGCTAGCCAGGCTCACAGCACGTCAACCGGCACCTTTCGGGTGCTTTGATCAGAGGTACGTGCGATAAGCACGGCTGGGTACGTACGCTGCGAAATAAATTCAACATACCTACAAATATACGTACACAATATCTGACATGTGCAGACAAATGGGCTATTTAAAGGACAAATGTTTCACGGATTCCTTACCTTCAGGGCAGGGTGCGACCTATTAGTCAAGTTTCTGTTCACTTTGAGCTTTTTTAGGGTGCGATGATAATCTCTTGCTCCTGTGTAAACATGAACGTCACTCACCTGGTCTTCCTTTACGCCCTTTCTGGGAAATAATGAAGATTCTTTGGTTATTTCGGTAAAGTCACGTAGACACAAGCAACCATTATCAGGTAAGAATTCATTCTTACTTGATGATGGTTGCTTGTGTTGCAGTCGAAACGTCGTATTCTATTGTTGTTTGATTTTATTTTCTACGTGACTTTACCGAAAGAACCAAAGAGTAATTCCTGCAGTCACGAAAGCTTCGAATCTAGTTATAATGAAGATTATTTCTGTTTTTAATCATTCACGAAGCTATGACCACTGGGTAGCCTCCTGGAATTTAGAGCTTACATTGCTGCCCTTTGAGTGAGGCTGAAGAGATAAGTAGCAAGAGAGGCAAGTGCTACGAAAGTCAAAAGATGCTTCCGTATTTTCTAATCAGTGCACTCGGTTTATGCTTTGTTACATGTACTGTGTCAATGATTCGGAGACAAAGTTTGTAGGAGGCACCTTCTTTACTAACACAACTTCCACGGTCTCGTCAACACACTCTCCACAGTAGCTCAGCCCAGCCTGTACACAACACTAGCCGTCTAACACTGACGGCGCTGACTGAGATAGCCAACTAATATCCTTCTTAGCGTAATATCTAGCGGAGACGTTTAGTAACGACGAGACGAGTCCACTCCCAAAACCGGCGGCCTCGAGCCCCACTCTCGGCTCCTTTTATGCTCCCAGCGTGGCCTGGCTCCGCCCTGACCGCGCCTCCCTTCTCGAACCCACTGGCAGGTTCCAGGGGCCGCCAGATGGGGTCCCCCGTGACCCTTGCCCTCGTTCCTCCGCTCTGCCAGCACACGCTCACCGGCATGTGTGCTGTCTCTCCACCATAGTTGTCGCCGCTGTTCACCAGCCGGCGCTATTACACTACACATGAATGCACCTCGAACCAAAGTCATCAGAATGTCCCATATTGTTCTGCGCCAACACCACCACCACCAATCGGTGATATTCTGAATTGGCATGATTTTATTAAAATATTTATAATTGTTAATGTTATACATTATTGTGCATATAGCGGCCTCTAGCAGCTGTGATGACCGTGTGAAATCATGCAATCCGACAAACCGAATTCAAATATCAACTCTTCCACGCGCAACTGATGTAAATATCTTAACATTAGAAATCGATAATAGTTGATGGATCGATTTGTGTTGACACCGTTAGGCCAAATTATATCGGTCCTTAATACATCCACTGCAATGTGAAAAGCCTATTGCGTGCCTATAGGGAATTTCTTCAACGTCATTACGTCACTGGAGCACTCTTCTCTGGGATTCAAACCCCATCGAGGCGGTGCCAACCTGCGTCCATGCCCGGTTCACCATTACGAAGGCGTCGTCATCACAGCGAAACACTCCGCTACTCCTCACGGCAATTTTCCTGGCTCAACCACCGCAATGTAACATAATAGTTGTTGCTCTGTATCAACATCTGCCATCGTTCATGAAATCAAAGGGCAACTGCAGATCTGGGTTGAGAAAATTATCCATGGAGATGGCGTGAGATAACTTTTCCTCAATCGATATGTATGTGTACGGCTTATCAGTGGTTAACGCGCTGCGCTACGAACCTGGTGATAGGAGTTCGAATCTCACTCACTGACGATGATCTGAACCGGTTCTAGGCCTCCCCTAGGTCGACTCGGCCTCAAGTTCATACCTGATGCGGTGTGTAAAGATCTCTTCTATGAAGACATGCGGCTGGGCATGAGTGTGACCACCCACCCCCTCGTGTGCCATGCCGGCCTTCATAGGGGCTGGCTAACAGCACTTGCCCCAACAG